CAAAGATATATTTCATATGGTGCTACCATGGCAACGGGAAAACGGTAAACAAAAGCCGGAAAATTGTAGATCGCAAAATGGGTGCTTTTTCTGTATAGAAAAAAGTTTGTATTTAGGATAAAATGTCTTTCGAGAAGATACTCTACAAATATGAGGACCCGCACGGCATCGGCGACGTCTACTTCATTTGGCAAAAGGCTTTGCTTGCGACTACAGGTACTGATGGATCTGTGGCGCTGTACAATCGCCAGGGACAACTGGTGCAGCGCATAATCCTCGCAGGGTGAGACCCTCCCACATAAACTATATTCAAACTGCATCAAAATAATTCCATTAGGCTCTGTTCAGGATTTGCATGGGACAATGAGGGCGATCTGCTGGGAATCATCACCAGCGGCTCCCCGAACATAACTCTCTGGGACTATGGCACGCAGGAGAAGATCAGCGTTGAAACTGGACTACGCGATCCCCTTACGTGCATACTATGGTCAAAACAGCAGCAGCTGTTGGCCGTTGGCACGGGACGAGGAAACCTGGCGATTTACAACCACCGCAGTGGAAAGCGCCCGACCCCGGTGCTGGGTAAGCACAGCAAGCGAATAACATGCGGTGCCTGGTCGGCACAGAATCTGCTGGCCCTTGGATCAGAGGACAAGAGCTTCTCGTTGAGCAACGAAGATGGGGACACAGTGCGTGTGGTGCAGCTGCGGGATGCACCCACCGACATGTATTTCGCTGAAATGGCGAATGACGATCGCATTGCTGGAGACAATGCAATCAGCATGATCATTGGAAAGCGAACTTTGTTTCTGTACTACTTGCCAGACCCGGAAAATCCCACAGAGCTGGGCTTTCAGAGTCGCTACGGATCACTACTGCAACACAAATGGTTCGGGGACGGCTACATATTGCTGGGTTTCTCCAACGGCCATGTGGTGGCCATTTCCACACACCCCAAGGACGTGGGACAGGAGTTATGGCAGGTGAAAAATCATAAGGATACGCTGACAGGCTTGGCCTATTGTCCGACACTAGACATTGTGGCTTCTTGTGGAGATGACAGGTGAGACAATGATTTAATTGCTAAATATTGATAATATTCCCATCCTATGATCAGCAGCATAAAGATCCACTCGATTACAAATCTGCAAGAAACGGAGCGCATCATTACAGTGCCAGATCATGCTGGCGTCCAAATGATCGACTGGTCACCGGATGGTCAACTGCTGGCCGTAACTACAAATAGTGGCACCGTCTATATCTATGTTACCAAGCTCCCTCAGATATTTGCCGTCTCCGCACCGCGGATCGTTATGCTGAGCAGCCTGGCAGAGGTTTCCATTTATGTGTATGCGCCGGACAAGTCCAAACCACTGCCCTTCCGCTTGCCCCTGGAGGGAGAGCCTACGTTTATAGCTGTTGGCCCTTACAACTTTGCCGCTGGTATTGACAAGCATGTTTGGATCTACGCTTTGGGCATGACACTGGGGGAAGAGCCCCGTCCGCTGAGTGAGCGGGATTTCCCGCGGAATGTGTCCAATATGAGGATGAATGCTGAGTACTGTGCCGCGCTCTGTCCACCCCAGTTGATTCTGCAGGCTATCAGTACAGATAATCCCAATTGCAAGGACAAGCTACAGGCCACTTTTCCCAGCGCTCTGCCGAACATGCCCAACGATGCGGTGATTACATGTTTTGCCTTGAGTCAGGAACTGTTGGTGTTTGCAACCGATGTGAGTCTAGATCTTAGCCAGCATTTAAAGCTCTCCCTACAGCTGAGTTGTTTGATCTTTTTCAGATTGGACATTTGGTGTTTTACTCGCTGGAAAAATGGGACAGTTGTACAATCTACCGTCACAGCATGGGCATTCGCCAGCTGTTTGTGGACAGTGAAGGAACTAAGATCATTTTTATCGACGAACATGCTCAAGGATATCTTTTCCTACCCGCACTGGAGGAAGCCTTGCTCATACCGGACATTCCAAAGCAATGCCTCGGCTGCCTATGGGATCTCACACAGCCGAACATTTTTATTAGCTACGATGCCAGAATTGTGAACACCCACGTATTTGTGCGCCACTCCGTGCAGGGCACACACACCCTCAAGGTGGGCGAGTCTAAGCTGAATCCTGGCCAATTTCCTTTGCTACTCTGCGGCGGCGAAATGGCACTCCACGTGGACGGCGGACAGTACGCCACACAGTCCCTCAGCACCCATGTTTTGAATCCCAGCAACAGCCAGACGGCGAATCTCCAACTGCTCCTTCGCCTCAGGAACTATGACGAGGCGTACAAGTTGTGCGAGCAGATGAACTTGAGCAGCGCATGGCGAGAGTTTGGCGAACAGGCGACTGCTGATCTAGAACCCGACATTGGTAAGATTATTACCACTCAGCACTCCAATGTCTATATATCCAATTGCTCTTTAGCTATTCGAGCCTATAGACGATTGGGCGACGGTGCTCTGGTACATGCTTTGAGTGAGCTGCGATATGTAGAAGATCTGGACATGCTGATCGGCTGCTGCTGCACGATTTTGGCTCAGTACGAGCAGGCCAAGGAACATATGCTCAAGGGCGTATACACAAGAGCGGCTCTCGAACTGTGTAGAGACCTTCTCCAATGGGATCAGGCCCTTCTTCTGGCGCACAAGCACGACCCACAAGAGGTGCCCTACATAGCGAGGGAATACGCACAGCAACTGGAATTTACGTATGCAAATTGTCAGAGCAACTAGAGATCAGGAATTCTATGTTTTTCCGTTACTTTCCAGTGGTAACTATGCGGACGCTTTGTATCACTACGAGAAGGGCTACAAGGAGGATTTAATTAACGACAAGGAGACCGAACAGTCGGCTGCAATGGAAAGTACTCCTGAGTACGAGGAGCACGTACGTCTATGCAAGATGGGCATTGCCCGAACATCAATACGTGCCGGAGACTTTCGACGAGGCGTAAGTAATTATTTCTCTGTGAAGTGAATTACTGAAACGTTAATTACTCGTCCACCTACAGATTCAATATGCCGTGGAGCTACTGGATAAGCAGCTTCTCTTCGACTGTGCGGAGCTATTGGCTACTGTCGGACATCTGACCGAGGCTGCGGGTCTTTATGAGCGTGGAGGGTTTTACGATGAGGCCTGTGGCCATTACATTGCTCTGAAGATGTGGCATAAGGCCAACAATGTACTTTCCAAGGTGAAGAGCAGCAAATTGCATGCAGCCTATGCCAAAGCCAAAGAGAGTGACGGCCATTTCGAAGAAGCCATTCGGTGCTATCGCATTGCTGGGGACTTGGATGCATGCGTGAGGATTTACCTTGATCATTTGTGTGATCCTCATGCAGCCTCGGAAATTGTGTTGGAATCACGATCGATGGACGCTGCTAAACTGCTGGCCAAGTTTTACCAGAAGATTGGAGATATAGAGCAGGCTCTTCAGTTTCTCGTTATCTGCGGCTGTGTGGAGGAAGCCTTCGCTCTTGCCCAGCGCCACAACAAGCTGCGGCGGCATGGCGAACTCCTGGAACGCTACGAAAATGCGAAATCCTCCGACTATCTGGCCCTGGCTCACTACTTCGAGAGTGAGAAGTATACACTGCAGGCTGGAAAGTATTACTTTTTGGCCCGTGAATTCACCAAGGCCATGCGGTTTCTGCTGAAAGCCTCTGCGTTCAACAACGAGGAACAGCTGGCTCTCTCTCTGGCAATTGATTGCGTGGCTACATCGAACAACGAGCAGCTGGCCTCGCAACTCATCGAGTTTCTCTTGGGAGATGTGGATGGTGTTCCCAAAGATCCACGCTACCTGTTCCGCCTGTACATGGCACGAAAGCACTATAAGGATGCGGCCAAGACAGCCGTCATAATTGCCAATCAGGAACAGATCGCAGGAAACTACAAATCAGCCCGGGATCTGCTCTACTCCATGTATCAGGAACTGCGGCGGAATAACCTGTCAGTGTCGGCCGAAATGCGGCACAATTTGATCCTTCTGCACCGATACACGCTCGTCCGCATACATGTCAAGCTGGGAAATCATCTGTTAGCCGCAAAGCTATTGGTGCAGGTGGCTGCTTGCATATCCCAGTTCCCAGAGCGTAAGCAGAGACTTGTTTGTATTGTGTTTGGACCGATAGGTTTATTGCCTTTTCAGACATTATACCCATTCTGACCTCCACGGTCATTGAGTGCCAGCGTGCCGGTCTCAAGAAGTCTGCATTCACCTATGCCTCCACGTTGATGCGTCCGGACTACCGAAATCAACTGGACACTCGCTATGCCAAGAAAATTGAATCTGTCGTCCGAAAGGCCCCAAAGGGTATTAAACAGTTGCGCGATGAGATTGACGATGAGACCATGGAGTGTCCCATATGCGATTCCAACTTGGCCAATATGGAAGTGACGTGCTATAGCTGCAAGACAACGCTACCCATCTGCATAGCAACGGGTCAGCACATCATCAAAACTCTAATGACCTCCTGCCCGCAATGCGATTTTCTCTGCTTCCGTGCTGAAATGGAAAAGTGAGTCGAAGCTGTAGTAAAGGTCTAATGTGGTATTATATCCTTTATTCTTATTTTAGAATACTCTCTGAGAATGGCGAATGCCCCATGTGCGGGGAGCAAGTGGCCCCCGAACAGCTGCTGGATGTGGAGGACATACGTCCATACATCCTGGCGGCATCTTAGAATCGAGTGTCAACATGACTGGAATAAACGAATAGACTGCACAGCACCATAAAACACCAAATAATAGATTTAAGTTGAAAGCACATATAACACTTTTAAATCACAAAACAATACGTTTATAAATAAACACCTCTTAAAGCCAAGTAATTTTCCACAGTTCTATCGCAAAACACTCGCAAACGAGATTAAACGGGAGCAAAAGTTTCCCGCAATGTGTAATTTGAGTTTTCGTGGGTTAAGTCACGCGATATAATTTGCGATCTTTTGGTTTGCTGGGTTGTCGTTTCATGGTATTTTTACAACGCGTTAGTCAATTTTGAAAACGCCGTGACTAATTTGTCCGAGCTTGCGAATTTTGATTTATTTGCATTCTAAATTCTTATTTAATCATTCCCAAAGATTTGTGATATCAACTGCACGTCCCAGTAGATCCTAGTCAAGGATATAAGAGATGGCTGATTTTGTCAAAGTTAATGTATCCAACTCGCATAACGATGCCGTCGCATTCGAGGTGAAGCTTGCCAAAGACTTGACCATCGATGCTCTAAAGGTACGTCCACATGGAGACATATTTCCTTAAAATCTAACATTCCAGGCAATATCCACTCTCATGTTGGTTTCTTTCTGCAGAGTAAGCTGGAAATATTGACGGGAGGCAGTGCTGGCACGATGAAAGTAGAAGTGTTCAAGGGCGACAAGTGCTTGGGCAGCCTGGACAACAACGATGCCCAGCTGGGATACTATGTAAATTGCGATGGCCTTCGCCTTCACGTCATCGATACCTTCGCCAGCTTCTGCTTTGACGCCCCCGTTGAGAAGTTCGAGCTGAGCAAAGACCAGTACGACCAAAGGTCCGACTCTGTGCGGAATTACCTGAAACAAAATCGCCTGGGGAAGTACAACGAGGAGGAAATGCAGCAAATTGAGGAAAAGAAGCGTCAGCAAGCGGAAGAGGTGCAAAGGCAGGCCGAGCTTTGTGTCCTTGATAAACGATGCGAGGTATATGAATAGAACCTGCAAGAGAACAATATATTGATTGCTCTACCCTCTGATGCTTTTCAGGTGACTGTGCAGGGCAATCCAAGACGCCGTGGTACGATCAAGTACAATGGACCCCTTGAGGGAAAGAGTGGTACATTCATTGGAATACAATATGATGAACCACTGGGAAAGAATAATGGAAGGTACCTACCTGTCCATCATGACACACACGATTCTAAAATGCCCACTTATGTCTTTCCTTCCGCATTGCAGTGTCAACGGAAAAGTGTACTTTGTGTGCCCTCCAAACTATGGTGGCTTCGTCTCGCCGTTATCCGTGACTGTGGGCGATTTCCCCCCAGAAGACTTCAACCTTGATGAAGAACTCTGAACATTTTTCCATCCAACTATCCAGACTCGCATCGCACATCTCACACTTTAAATGAAAGACTTAACAAAAACCTAACTTTAGTTATGCCATTTTATATTTATTAATTAAAACATCTATGTATGTATATCAGATAATCTTACAACATGATTATTTGTAAATTCTATAATCGGTTTTATCATTTTTTCTGATTTAATGGTGTTGTCAATCAATTCACATATTTTTATTTTACGCGTAACTCAACCTTTTGTTGACAAAATAAATACCAGAAGTAAGAATACGCTATCAAATATTGTGCAATAAGGATCTGCGGATTGATGACCGCTGATTGATGACAACAGAACTGTCTGCAAACTGTCAAAGATCTCTTCTAGGTTGGGCGGTAGGGGAGCTTTCTAAGTGAGGATATTTTCCGAGGCAATATATGTATTAAGCTTGATTGCTTTATATGTATATTTATGCTTGTATTATATACTTATGTGTGTGTGAATAGGGTGTATGCATGTATGTACTTTTCATTCTTAAAGCTAATATTTATTAATAAATTGCAATCAGCTGTCGTTTAACAACAAATACATATATATAAAACGTTGCATGCATTTACTCGAAGGTCTAGAAGTGTTTTAGAAATGCGTCACAATCATGATGGTTTGCAAACTTTAAGTGTAACTATGTTTTGGTATTAATAGACTGATTTTGAGCCTCCACATACTTGTCAAATCAACTAAGATAAATGGTCTGTAACGTCTTTTTCTACATCTCACTTGTTGAGATCGGTTCTGCTTTAGTAAAACCCATTTTCTTCTCCATAACGCATTAAAGTCTGATTCCGCACAAAGCTCAGGTCCAGCCCCTATGCTCTGTGTGTTTGGGTTATCCGAATAGAGTTAAACTTGGTGGGCAACTATGTAAATAATTGGCCATAATTGCATTCGAGTTTTACATATATTTCGTTTCCGATCGGTTGAGTAAACTTGAAGCCTTAACAGTAGATAATATATGTACGTACATCTCTTTCCTGTGTTCTATGAACTGTTCAAATTGAATGAAATTAACCAAAATATTCAGGTATACAAGTACCAATTTATACCAACTACCATATTCGAGCAGATCTTAACATTTACAATTGCTGCTGCTGTTGTTGTTGATTTCTCATTCCATCAAAGCACTGATACTTTATACTAATATACCTGATGCTGCCCTAAAGCTTCGCAAACAACGTTCATTAAAGTATCTCTTAAAAATGAAACAACCCGAATTTGGATATCAGTGTATATTGTGTACTTTGATAACTTTCTTGCCAAGCAATTCTTTTTTTGTTTTTACTGGATATCGACACATAAATGCAGTTTATAGAGCGTTGATTTGTTCTTGTTAATATTTATTATTATTGTTTTATTGAATTGTGTGTGTGTGTGTGTGTTTGTTTCTCTTTTGTCATGATTATATTTATATACTTGTATTTTGTTGTCCTAACAATTACGTTATTGTATGTAAATGTGTGCGTATCTATGTGGGTTCTAATGCATTGTCAGTGTAGATACAGAGCTCGTCTGCTCGTTTGTTATACGAGCACATACATATGCATGTTGTAGTTTATCCAATCCGTTAGATCGATGAAGGATACTAACATGTACGAGTACTACTATTTACTTGAGATTCTGTGCATGCACCGACCCAAATATTTTAGCAAAACATACATACAACAGATGCGTATTCTACATATCTCTTCACATATCTAGAATTCTATTTCGCATGTGGTACGACGACCCGGTTCCATTATATTTAGAGTGTTGTGGTGCGTAGCATTTCCACATGCGATTTGGTGTTTGGTTTCTCCTCAGCCTGTTCAGATGGGACCTGTGACTCCTTTGATATTGTGTTCGTCCTAGGTGCACCTTTCTTTTCCGACCCACCGTGCCTGAAGGCTGTTAGTTTGCGCACAATGAGGCTGCCCGTGTGTTTGAGGTTCCTTTTTATTCGATTACTTCCGCCGCTGCCGCTGCCACTGACACTGTCATCCCCTCTGCCCTTTTGGCCACCGATGTACGTAGATGTGGTCGTTGGGCCTTTGGTAGCCGATTTGATAGATTCATGCGCTTTGTGCTCAACGCCCTCGCCATCCTCCTCCAAAATTGCGTTAATCGTATTTAATTCACTGCAGAGGGGCAGGACAATTGAATCGCTGGGCTGCGCATCAATACCCAGCGAGTCCTGATCACGCACTATGCCGTGCCGTGCTGCCTGTATATCGTCGCCCGCCTCCAGATTTTCCTTAGAGCTGAAGGGCGAGTACATGTGAAAAGCCGAATGCAAGGATCCTGATTTTTTTGAGTCCTCGTTTCCCGCACTAGACAGCCTGCTCTTCTTGCGCCGCTGCGAGCCATGCTGACTGGTCAGGGATCGGCACATAAGCGAGAGATCTGACAGCTTGCTGCTACCGTCATTGCTGGCCGTGCGACGGTAGTCAGATGAGATGTTGTCGGCATCAGTATCCCTGGCGGCAGCAGCGGCGGCTATCCCCTCATGGTTATTTTGGTTAAGTCACAGACGTAGGTCAAAAGCAATGCGAGACGCAATGTTCTTGAAACCGATGCTGGTGCCTGAACAAATACAAAAGGAGAAAAGGGTGTTGTTACAGCAAGTGTTCTGGTAGTGCCAGTAAACAATTGAACACTCACCAGAGATCCGCTTAAAGCGCACCCCATTCAAGGAGAGTCGCGGCAGCTTGCACACTTCAATCTCCCACTGCACCAAGGAGTCCGTATTGGGATCGCCATGCACGCACCAGAGCACAAACCTAACAAAATTCAAATGGTAAATTCATTATCCTCCTAATTATTCTATCCTGTCTCCTTACCGCTCCCGCTGCTCATAGTCGCAGTTGTTTTGATCCAGCACTTCGCGTATCTTTTGCATTATCTGATCGGGCATGAGGGGCGATGTTGTCTTCATGGACCATGTAAAGCGCAAAACACGTGGTTTCGCTGGCTCTTCCGTGGTGGATTGACTGAAATTAAATAACCGGTTTAAAACAACGAACGAACCACAAAAAATGTATTCAGACAAGTATTAAGCGTATATGGCTATTGCCTTTCCCATGCCGAGCTGTTTACCTGACCTTTCAGATCTAAGATGTTTCACCTAATTTTTGACATGTTCCCAGAACAAGCACCCACGCCTGCATTCCATGCCCAACGAAAGTATTCCGAACATGTTTTTCCGTCATCAGATCTTGTCATGGTCAGTATGTCAGAGTTGAGAAAATTATGTCAGTTATGGCAATCGCCATTTGATCGGAGCAATTTAAGTTTAAAATTTAAGTCCAAAATCACATTTTTGGCTGAAGCGTTTGGTGAGTAAAAGCACTCACGGACAGTCGGACAACTCCTTATCAAAGTGTGTTTACCCCCCTACTACTCGGACATTTGCACTGGTGTTAAATCCCAAAGCTTAGGCTGAAAGTGGGCGAAGGTGTGGGATGGTGATGGATGAGGTTGAGCCAGCATATGCAAAATGGAGAAATGAAATATAATTGAAATGCGTGTAGAGGTTTTCTTTGCTCACAAATGTTTCACATCATTTATTATGGTTTTATTAAATTATCAATTGTTTTAATTATGCGTTATTTCTTTGAAACTTAATATTTAAAGATAACTACGGGTCGAGCCACTGAAGGTGTCCGACATTAACACGATTTATAGATAATCATCTGTACAAATAAAATGGTCGCATGCACTAGTGGTAATACATTGTTATTCCTTGAAGTTAGGCTTAATCTGTTTAATTTCTGGTATGCTTAAAATGCTAATAACGCTGCACGCTCCTCCCTCTGGNGTCCCGCTGTCCTGCTCTTGTAGCGCGTGGTCGGTTTTTGGGTGTGTGGGTGCTTTTGTTGTGTTGGGGGGGGGGGGGGGGGGGGGGGAGCATTGGGTGAGAATTATGAATTGCAAGTTCGTTAGTTGGTTGCTTGGTTGATTGGCTGGCTGGCTGGCTGGCTGGTTGGCTCGCTGGCTGATGTCTGATTGTATGATCCACGGATACAATTTAGTGCAAGCTCAAATCGGAATTTGGAATACAAATACAGTCCATACATACAATACAAACATACATACATACAACTACAGATATTGCTAAATAAAAGTTAAGATCGTACAGTAGTTACACAATTAGCAACTTATTTTGGTGTTTTATTGATTTTACTTTCAGTTCAGCTTAGATCGATCGGTTTAGATTTGGGTTTCAGTTTATTTTAGTTTAGTTGAGTTCAGTTAAGGCTAACGTTCAGTGTAATGTACGAACTACTACTCTGTGTTACTCCGCCACGTTTTCGCTGATGCTCACTTCATTTCATGATTCCGTGCTTCCGTGACGATGTAATATCCATAATAGATTTTATTTATGTGTAGTTTAGGTATAGTTCTCGTAGGTGTAATATTTAGTAGTTGGTGTTGGATCCATAATCGTGACAGTAACAGACAGCAACTGCAGTCAGCATTCTCTCTGATTTATTGCATTATTACACGAGTGCTCACGAGTATCGTTATCGTATCGCCGCCTCTTGCGCTTTTCTCATTGCAATTTCGTTTAATTTCACTTCATTTCATTCATTTGTTCTGCTCATTTATGTTCTTCCATGCGCTGCTCGCTCCTCGCATCGTTTTGCAAACAATGAAAACAAAGGGTTCGTAATTTGCGTTTGCTGTTGCTTTACTTTAAATATATATATATATGTATATGTATATGTATGTTTAATTTATATAAATGTATATGTATAATTAGTTAATAATTGTAATAAAACATAGGCGCATTTGTGAAATTTGCAACGCAATTAACGCAACGGAACTCAACGTTGTCGGTGTTCATTTGAGGGGCAGCTGGCTGTAAGCGGCTCGAACCATTTTCGGAATCGGAATTGAAATCGAAAGCAGTTAAACGTAGTCGATATTCTGTATCGGTATCGTTATCGGTATTCGTATCGGATCGGATCGGTATCGAAACGACGCGGAGCAAAATAACCCGATCCAATCTGAATCGACCTTATCTCTGTACTCTGTCTGTTCATATCATATCTCTCTCTCTCTCTCTTTCTCTCTCGCTCTCTCACTTTCTCTCTCTGTACCTCTCCGTCACGCGCGTTTACTCTAGGGGGAATCGTTTGTCTCAGTTTCAGTTTTAGAACTATTAACAAGAAGTAGTTAATGCTTGTTTTGTTAATTACTGGTTTGGCCTAAAATTAAAGAAAAAATTTTAAACAAATTATTCACGGCTGGAAAAAATATTAATAATGGGTAAAACAAATACCAGAAATGAAACCAAAGAAGACAGATAAGAATAAAACGGAATAATGGTAAAAGTTTTGTTTGTTGTTTTGTTTTTTATGTTTCTTCGTACTAGAAAAAGAAAAGTAAACGCAATATCGCTTCAACAACTGATAAGTTCATTGTACATTTCGCATTGTCTTTTTTTTTTTAATAATCAACAGCATTATCGTAATCGTAATCGTAATCGTAATCGTAATTAAACTGATCATGTATTTAACAAATGAAGGAAAAGAGACGAGTACAAAGGAGCCTTCCTAGCGGTGTGGTGATTTAATGCAAGTACAGAGTCGTATAAAGCAAACGTGGGTATACAGGATTGGTTTGGAACTACTACAAAATATCTATATGCATATCGTATGTACCAGTATACACACATACATGTATGTTGAAATTATAAATTCAAACAAGAGTAAACAAATTATAGATGTGACGGAGATTTCGAGAGCGTAGAGAGGAAGCGACAGACGACAGACGTTGGCAGTTCGGCTCTTGTCATGGATTCTGTTTGGTATTTCTATTACACGTGATTGCACCTATTGTATGTATGAATGTTTTGTATTTTTCGTTGTTGGATTTGTACTTCAGAGGTTTAGGTTTAGATACAGAGTCTTGCAACCGATTCGGCAGTCAACATATCGTATTATTTCGTTTTATGATGGAGCATTTTTGATTACAGGGCAGGCACTGACACATCGGCAGATCATCCCGAACGATTGCCAGTTATTTGTTCATTCATTGTTACTACAGCCGAGCCACACACTCACTCACACTCACACTCGCACACACACAATCATTTGGAGATCACTGAGTAAATACATATAGTATGTACGCACGTACGTATACATATATGGTACGTAAAAATGCTAACTAAATATGAGTAGGAATACAAATGTATTAGCAAGTAAATGCATGCGTCATTCCAGCCCCAAACTGGCATATGCACCCCACAGCTACGCAGATCCACGGAACCCAATGGACCCCCAACCAACGGAGGATCCACCACAAAATCAAGGTGAGTTCGTGCCTCTGGTTCGTGTCGGTGCATATACGAATTTTGAGTCTGTTCTTAAGCAAATGTCCTGCGTGTACGTTAGGCTCTGTGTTATATGTTCGGGTACATACTCGTACACATATAGTAGTACATATGTACATACTTTCATTCTGAAAGACTTTCAGTTCAAAATAATGGAAAAAATAAACAAAATAAGAAAGCAAAAAAAAGAAAAGGAACCATAATTAAAATTCCATATACAAAATACGTGCATATCATTAGTGGAAAATAAGTAACCATTTCATAATTATGAGAAACTCCTCCCTCCTCTTTCGCGCAAAATCAAATTTAATCAAATGAAATCTCGACCGGTCTTTGCATGCAACCAACCAAATTGGGAGTGGGGTGGAGTGCTCTTCCGCGAACCACCCAACGCAACGGTTTAGAACGGTTGTTGTTAGTAACGTTATTGTTTCCTACGGCCAGAACTTCAGCGCATGTGCATAAGTAGCAGTAAAAAGTTAATTGATAATGTCGGTTAAGTGGATAGTTTTCCGTTATCGCTGCAAGACTTCATCTACACCTTCATTGGATTCCAACTTGGATTCCCCTCAGTCTCTGGCTCTTCTCTTTCTCTCTCTCGGTATCTTTTGCATTTTCGGTTGTGCAGTTAGGTGGACCTTAACAATGGTGATATACTTGTTGGTGATTGGGTAAACGAACGAACTTGCATAAACATCACGTGATTGACATTAAACAAAACAGAAATTATACACAGAAATGTTAGTGCATTTACAGAATACTTATGACTCACGTAGAGCCAAATATACAGTGCGTTTCAGGCGATTATCTGTGATTATCATCGAATTACGTTTTTTTGGGTTTATCTCAGCTTTCGAATCACAAGAAATATGATCTGTTAACTAAGAAAATTAGGTGATTATCATTTATTATATGTCAATAATTTGAATTTTGTGGGATTTCCAGGGATTTGTGCGGAAATAAAACAGACAAAATCGAATATCGCAGTACCAGATAATTTTGAGCCGATTTTTAGCCAATTTGCTTTTAACATTTTCTTTCCGCAGTCTACCTTCGTCTCCCTGTCCGAATGTCTGCATCATTGATTGCATGATCAAGGTATTTTCTTTAATAATAGCACTAGGTAAAAATAGTAGCCACCTAAGGCCAAGGTTTCTTTGTCAATACCCGCATATTCAAGATACATTTATGAAATATTTTTAGTCATATGCTTAATGCGTTTCTTTTTAGCGATAACTTGGAGCTGGCTTGGGGTGAGCAAAAACTCGTTTTGGACAGAATTGATATGCAGAATGGACTTTGTACAGTACAGAACATAAACACACACACACACCCATGTGTCATAAACAAATATATATTTTAATAGGTGTATACGCGCACGGGTGTGTGTGCTGCAGATATGCAATTAAACGAAACAAAATATATATGAAACATAAAATGAAAAACAAGGAAAAATACACGAGAAACAAACGAAAACAGTAAATAAACACGAAAACGATAAATAATAAATGATTTACTTATAAAAAGGAAGGAAATTATAAACGAAAATCGATTAAAAAAAGTAAACAAATTCGAATTTGCAGTTTGCATTTGCTTTTCTTCTAATATTCCATTAACTGAAGAAATCAAATTGGCATTTCGAGTGATACATATTCCGGTTGGAATGGCACTTACCGTTTGCTAAAACGTGAGGAGAGTTTGGAAAAGAAGCTCATACGCCCCGGATGGGAAGAGTCGCCGGAGGCCCCACTTGTGCCCGAGTATTCCAGCGCCGTGTTGTTTCGTGCTCTGGTTTGACCTGTGGAGAGCAACGATCATTTAGATTAGCAGCGAACATACTTGTGCAGCACACGAGACTCAATCTACGAGTTGGATAACTCCTTAGTAATACTGACAAGTACGTACACATGTACTAGGATACGATCGTTACGCTGTTTATACATGTATTTTATGTACATACACTAACGAACAGACATATGCCCCATTTTGTTGGCACAAAGTGCACTGTGCAACGGCGCTCCCAGTGCACTTTGCCCCAGGTGGTATTAATGCCAGATGGTAGTTAACAATAGTTTTGATATATGTTTTTTTTTTTGATAAGCGATTTATGGGTATCGCGGTAGCTGAATGTAAACAGAAAAATGTATCTGTTTCTATAAGACTCTATCGTTTTACATTTTGTGTTGCTATGAATAGTTTTCCATTCGTATTTCCAAACACACAAAGATATGTACAGGAGTGGCGGTATGGGCTGGGGCGGGGTTTTTAGGGAAAGGTTCAAGTATAGAAGGCATACGTACGAACAAACAAACGTGCATGGAAGTTGTGTGCAACAGATCGCGGAAATTATAAGCGATGTGGTGGGGTATATAGTACTGTAGTACGTAACGGTACGATAAATAACACAAATTAACATTCAGCTAAATGAGTTGATAGTCGATAACTAGATAATCGATTGAAAACTGAAAATAATCGGAGCGCGCTTGGATATGTTGATATGGATGTGGGGGTGCAGTGCGGAATTTTATTGGTATCGAATGAGAAATGAGTAATCGTTTCAATTATCGATAATCATACGATAACTATGCAGGATTTACACAAGTAGCCTAGTTTTCAGGGATTGTGGACTGGGTTTGGATTTAGTAGGTGTGGATAAAATTAAATTATTATCATTAAAACTAATAAAAATAAGTGAACAGAAAACTCACCAGAGTGAAAGGTTGAACGTGATGGAACATTCCTTGGAAAGTGTCTGCTTGATTTAACAGCCGATGCCATTCTAAGTCGATCGAACAGACTATATATGTACAAGTACAATACATATGTATGCACACATAGGTATGAATGGAAATCAAATCAGTTTCGAATCGGTTCGTCGGAGTACATTCAAATCCAATGAATCGCATTTCAGGGAACGAATATGTTTTTATCAGTATAGAAATGTTGATTTGGTTTTTGTTTAATTTTTGTTGTTTTCCATAAAATATTTGTTTGTGTAATCATTTGTACAAGAACCGTTCGAGGGTGAGTGTTTGAACGTAATATGGGATGAGTAATGATTGGACGAGTGTATCGTGTATCGGGTGGGTTTCGGGTGATTATTTCAAGAGAGCGGTGCACATCATCATCATCAATTCGGTTCGTATCAGATCGGTTGGGTTTTTGGAGTTTCGTTCCGATCCAGTGACGATTTTGTTATCGATTTGGGCATCATTTATCGATTGATGGAGTTGGATTTGTATTTGATATCGATTCGGTTCGGTTCGGTTCGATTTGATTTTGGTATTTGGCAATGACGACATGTATGTAGGATGGCGGCAGGCGGGTGGGTGTTCAGAACAGCGCGAATCAAGCAGTTTGTTTTTGTTTATGTGATAAATAGATGGCGATAACCAAAAGTTGATGGTTTTTTATATATATTTGATAATATATTGTTTTATCAATCACGTCGTAGACATAAACAAAATGAAAAGAAAAAATAAAAATAGATCATGTAAATTTCTCAAGAAGACAAGCACTTAAATATACGATTCTTATTAATTATGCTGGATACAACAAATCCTGAATGAATATGAATTTAGATAGTAGTAGTTGTGGTAATGCCATAATGCAGTACGTTGGAAAGCTGAGAGAGAGAGCAGGTACAATAGATATACATATGTATGTATGTATGAGAAGTTCCTGATCTAAATGAAAGCGTTTGGATGACTCATGCTTACGAAGTTCGAGTACTTCAGATGCAACAGATACATTCGACAATATTTAGATGGGTCTCTCTGCATCTCTGATATTCGATATATTCAGCTAACAATTAGAGTTACAGTTGAAGAAACTACGCATGAAGTAGACACATCGAAGTCGTACATTGGAGAGCATATAGTTAGTATGATCAGTCAGGTAGGCGTACACAAGGTTACAACAGCAGCACAATAACAAGCTATTTCAAATCGAGTATAAATCAGGGATATAAGCATTTAACAGGGAAAACGCAAAAACACAATTATGGAGAAAATTCAATTTACGGGCGATGGTAGGAGTCAATAGAGTTAGACTGACGAAGACAGACATGCATGAGGAAACGAAAACGGAAACAATAGAAATTATGAATTTATAGAAACGTATATACGGATATTCCGCTTTTGCCGAGTGTCGACTCTGTGTTTGGAAAATCCCAATGCGTATACGAAATAAAAAACTATTCACTTGATCAGTCTCGTAACCCTAGCAAAACCGATCCGACATTCTATTCGGATATTCTATCCACCAATTACTGGGCAAGAAGCAGTAGTCGTAGCCTTGACATCGCCGCGAATTGAATCTCGTTCGGATGAATGACAAATTATGCGAAAGTATGCGAACATAAATTGGTAAAAAAAATAAGCCAAATCCTACACTAGTTGTACACACTTAATTATAAATAGCAACTGTATCTGTATATGTGGGGGGAAGGGTCGCGATCGTTTTTCGTACACCCAAAACAACTAATGATCAGTTTTTAGCGAATGTTACAATTAATATATATAGTAAATAATCTTCTGTAATCTAGGATTACTTGAAGCGTGTGTGTGTGTGTGTGTATGGAGACGCTCACGACCCTTGGTTAAATGAGGCACAATATAAAATCTCTTAACGTAAGATTGGATATTCACTCACCAAATTTGTTCGATTTTGTTTCGATTCGATTCGAATCCAAATTGAATTTATTCAAAACCAAAATTCATTTCATTCAAGAACATAAATGGAATTTAGTTGTTTGAATTTTTGTTGGTTTTTTTGTTTGTTCAGGTTTTCAATTTGCATTACGATTACGAACGAAAAGGTAGTAGTAGTAGTAGAGTTATACAATAATTGGGCGAGCGTCGATAGGAAGACGAAGAAGGTTGTTGCAGATTCAGATTCAGATTCAGATTCGTAGGTGGTGGTTGGTTGGTTGGTGGTGTTATTTGTTGTTTCGGATATAGAACGCCACAAAGAATGGATGTACATATGTGGTAGTGTAGTAGTTATCAAATTAGACATTTGTTTTGTAAACAGACAATGTTTAAAATTGTAAAAAACATGAAAAGATAAGAGATTTACATTATTCAATTGATCAAATGGTTAGATCGATAAAAATACATTGAAAATAGTATACAAAACGAATAGAGAACCAAACGAGAAAAGGCCAACACTACAATAAATACTAATAATAGAAGAGTGAACAGTCAACAGACATTAATAATATTCAAATTAAATATATACTTTGAAATTATTTATAGTAACAGGCATATATGTATTCTATGTATATAGGCTTGATCTCCACATGTTCATCGATCCCAGGACACGCGACTAAACATACAACGGTTATGCCACGCTGTTCACGCTGTTCACGCTGTTCACGCTGTTGGTATCGCTCCACAATCCTAATCTGAAATATCTATACAGAACCATGTGACAGACAGATATCTACTACTTGCGACAGCCGAGTCTCAGACAACACGCACAGCACGAATTATTTAATTTAATTTGGATTTTCGGTTTAAATTTAGACTGGTGAGAATTATTGTCAGCCTCTGGGATCCGGTTCGCTCTAATTGACTTGCTAATGGATATTAATTGGCCAAAAGTGGGAAAAGGGAAACGACAAATAAACTAAATTATTAATTCGGATACGGCCATAACTTGAATTCTTTACAAAACCTCCAGAATATATCAAAAGTTAAGTTTATATAAAGTTAATTAAATTCTGGGTATTTGACTTGATTTTCTAGGAATTATAAATAATTATTGGAAAATAATTTGACTTTGCTTTGCCTGTACATCGGAGGTCCATATGCATACGAAGGTTTATATGTGGGTGGATGGGTGCTTACGGCATTGTTTTTATATTATTGGAAACTAAATCGATAGAGCTCTTGGTGACTGATATGGAAACTATGATTTATGAAGGTGACGTGTCGATGTGAATGTCCAAATGCACAATAATTCTCACAAAAAGAAATCAAATGGCAGCCAATTTTGGAAATGATAAGAAGTAATTGAGTTTCAAATAATCCGATAATCAAAGTAACAAAATGTTGTATACAGTTTTTGCTTTGTTTGTTAATTAGACAAGTGTATACCTCGTTCCGAGCGGGTCATTCGAGACTGAGACGCATCCGTCTGTGGAGGGGCGAGGGCTCGATACAGACGCGCTTTTCGTATGACCTTTTCCAGCGGGAGCTGCCGATCCGCTGCTGGTTACGTGCATAGTGGTGGTAGAATCGTAATCGTAAATAGGTTGTAGGTATCGTATGTATTGCATGTGCTTTGGTTTGGATTTGATTTGGTATTCTTTTGATGGGTTAAGGTTTTTCGGTTTGAATGGAACCAAATGAAAGAAACGTGAAATTAAAACGAAATCACTTTTGAATTGTGCTGACTGCACGGCAACTAAAGAGAACTGAATTGTGCATGACGGTATACGATTACGTTTCTATCGAGGGTGGGGAAATTTTTCCTTGTGGTTCTGTCGCCAATTCCACGCCACTGCATGACCGCACCATCGGCCAATATGCAGACTAATTGCTTTCTAGGCCGAGCGGTTCCGTGAACGGGAAGACGTGCAAACCAAAGACAAAACTATAAAGGACAGGCTCCACCAACTAACGACAAACTGAACAACTAAATGGGGCCTGCCAAAACGAGGGTATTACATATGGCAATGCAAACAATAACCGGGATTCGACACAGCAGTACGGAAAACTAATTCAGCATAAGAAAACAAGGCACTACTGTTGCCCAGGGTGGCAACGGGTGGCAGAAACAATTGGCAAGCTCCGGTCTCACGTACTTTGTCTCTGCAGGGATAACGTTGGTCTTCTCCGTCGACGAGGTCTTCTCGTAGAGCGTTGTGGAGCGGCGTGGAATGATGCCACTGGTGCCGCTCACCGTGCGATTGCCGTTCGTCGGATCATACTTCGTTGCCGTACGCGGCTTGGCGGGACTGTTCAGAGCTGCAAGCAGATTAAGGTAAATGGAACGGATTAGATGGAACTATGCTAAGCTTTAGATCAAATCCTCATACTTGTGTCTGTCGTGGTGAGCATCTTTTGGGTGGCCGAAGCAGGCCTCTGGTTCTGTGCGGCCAAGCGCGCCGTGTTCTCCTTAATGGTGGCCGAGTCGATGGTGTTTTGGCGCTTGAAATTGCTGCCACTGCAATGGGAAATCAAATAATGTTGCAACCAATTGACGTGTCCATAATATGCATATGCAACTTACACTGATGCACGATCCGCCGCTGTGCCTGCAGCGTTGTAGTTGTTGCTTGGATTGACCGCACCCACAGCTCCCGCAGCGGCCGCCACAGTTACGGCTGCATTTGCCGGTCCAGTGCCTGCGATGAGAAAGAGCAGAGGTACTGATTAGTATGGGTCCCATTGTACATGATATACGGTTAGCCCCTTGACGGGACTTACGCAATGTTTCCGCACCGGACGAGGCTCGACGACTAGGCTTAGTGCTAGACGCCGATATGCTCCTGTGAACCCCTCTATGTGTGGGACTCTGCACTCCCGTACTTCCCACATTGGCGCCCGCATCATTGCCAGAGATGTTGCGCAGTGATAGTGAGGAGCCCGATCGCGATCCATCACTTTCCGGCTGCATTGGTGGCAGGAGAGAGACAGAGACACAAGGGGAGAATGAGGCAAGATGGAAAATCGGGAATATTCCGCACCACACTTACGTCTGTGCTCTTGCGTCCCAGCAGCAAATACGTTGCAAACACATCATCGTAGCGCACCTGCGAGAGCGAGTTTTCAATCTCTAGTCGATTGTAGCCCATCGCGACCAGAGCTTCTGTACATCGCACGAAATGACAAACAGGAAAAGTGTGAGTGGGGTGATCATTGAATGGATTGTGGGAAAAATGTAGTACATTTAGATATCGCATGCAAAATCATTACAGTTTGCAGCCAGGAGCTCCCATACCACAGAGCGTGGAGCATGGGGCGCACCAGCCATAGATTGTATGTATGTAAGTGTAGCCGTAGCCATGCAGCGAGCAAAACAAACGATATTTAGCTAATGAGCATCACCAGATTGACATTCGACTTGCAGCAGACCCCAAACCGGACTCAATATTCACAGCTTTACGCCTCGACTCGCATTTGAAAGTAGAAGACCACACATCAGTTCTCATCTCTTGGGAGAAATTAATTTATTTTCCATATTTCAGTTCGTACATCGAGAAACATTTACTAAGTGTGCTGTGTGTGCATACAAAAAGGATAGCTATGCTATGCTATGTACAGGAGATGCGAGAAAAGAAACGAAAAACGAGAAACGAGAAAAGAAAAACCAAAGAAAAGGAAGAACCAATTCCGTGTCAACATTCAACACTTTCCGTTCTCTTGAGCTCGTTTGGCATTCGCCTCCTCCTGGTCGGTCTGTTGGAGCAGAAGGCGAGGCAGAGGCAAAGGAAGAAGAAGGCACAAGAGGGGGGGAAATAGAACAGAGATTAATGCGATTAATGCGAGGGGCTGTCTGCTGTGTGACGTAGATAGTGTTTCTCCCAACGGGATTGCATACATTTTGGGTTGGCTTCCGTTCGTCAATCAGAAAATTCACCATCAACATCAAGTTGTAGGCACTACGCCGAATCGAGAGCGAACCTTTGACACCGGTTTGTGGCCCCGCAGCTATGTGATTGAGAATTTACAAAACGAAAATCAAGATCAAGGAGGCATTACTGGCGCATCCCACCATCGCTTTGCCAGAGCCCAACAACAGCACACAGCTGCTGGTACTCTGCTCTGGCGCCACACTGGGGAACATCCGTGAACAATTATTACAAACTACGAAATTATAAAACCAAGTTGGTTGGGTAACGAATGATATTAGTAATATTACATTGCAGCAGATACATAATAAGTATAACAAAAGAAAAGAACAAATTGGCAGGCAAAACTCCACTCCACACACACACAAATCGTTAATAATATTAGTAATGAATTTTGTATACAGTACCCGTCTTACCTATCCTCTTGGGATCGGCTAAATCGGCTTTTGGCTCTATATAAGGCTTGAGCTCATCGTCCTCAAACCCCATATTCATCCACTTGTCGCCCATGATTGTCTCTAGACTAGCACGCTTTGCGGGGTTCAGTACTAAAAATTTGCGTAGCAAATTCTCACAATCCGTCGACATATAGAAGGGGATTCTGCAAAGCACCAGACATTCAGGTTAAAAAAACTGTATTTAAAAATGGTTCATATTATACGAAGTACATACCTATATTTTCCTCTGAGCACACGCTCGCGCAGCTCCCTCAATGTTGAGCCGTCAAAGGGCAGGGAACCGCTCACCAACGTATACAAGATGACGCCCAGCGACCACACATCCACCTCGGGGCCATCGTACTTTTTGCCCTGGAATAGCTCTGGGGCCGCATACGGTGGACTGCCGCAGAACGTGTCCAGCTTGGAGCCGGGCGTGAACTCGTTGGAGAACCCAAAGTCAGCTATCTTTATGTTCAGCTCGCTGTCCAGCAAAAGATTCTCCGCTTTTAAGTCCCTGTTGAATTCAAGTTTTATATGAGTTTGCACTCATATGACGAGCCGCAGATGACTCTCACCTGTGTATAATTCTCTTTTGATGACAGTATTGCACAGCTGAGACGATTTGTCGAAACTTAACGCGTGCCTCCTTCTCCTTCATGCGCCCATGTAGTACCAGATAGTCAAAGACCTCGCCACCCGACGCATACTCCATGATCAGATACAGGGTCTTTTCCGTTTCGATTACTTGAAACAGTTTCACAATATTGGGGTGGTCAAGCATCTTCATTATCCTAACCTGTGTTGTCCCAGGATTGGAGCAGAGAAAATAAATTCATGATTGAGAGGACATTCATTTAAAGGAAGGACAAGCAAGCACAAACCTCTCTGAAGAGTTTCTGAAGTGACCCAGGATTGAGTTGGGTCTTGTCAATTATCTTAATGGCCACCTCCTTGCCAGTGGGCAAATGCTTGGCCAGCTTCACCTTGGCAAAGTTTCCCTTGCCGATCGTCTTGATCAGCTTGTATTTGCCGATGTGCTCTTCGGTGGCGCGCCATCGCATGGGAGCACTGCTTCGCATCTGCATGTTCGGGGAACCCTGGAAGAGTAAGGCAGATATGGATTAGTTTAACTCTCTTCAAATCTATATGGGGTCGGAGGAAATATTTAAAGATCTGTTACCCCCTGACTAGTTTGGTTGGTTACGATTGATAAGACAGAAGGAGGGTTTTGTAAGATAGGTTCAAGTGCTTCTTCGGGTGGTCGGTCGGGAGGCTTTACCTGTGCAGCATGGTTGCTGTACGCATTGCTGCGGTTCACCACTGCATTGGGTGCCGGAGGAGTTGTGCGATGGTGTCCCACAGCTGGGGCAGCCGTCACAGATGCCGACCCCGAGCTGGAGCCAGATCCGGAGCGCGCATCCACGCTCGATCGCACCGCGTGCGAACTGGGTACAGCTTCGGTACGGATCGAGCTGTACGGCGGAATGGGTGCCACAATGGGCCGCTCCGAGCGCCGCTTGGAGCTGGAACTGGCACCGCTCCCAGTTCCGGCAGCCCCGCCCGATGCTGCATGACGATGGGATTTTTGTGCCAGTAGCGCCTCAAACTGGCGCAAGTTTTCCTCCCGCCGCTTGGACGCCGATATTGTGGGGGCAGTCAGTTTGGACGAAGTAATGCCATCCACAACGCTGTTGCTGCTGCCTCCACGGCTGGTGGAGGTCCTCACAGCAGGCGTGGGTGCTGTCCCAGCTGGTCGCCAGGCCTGTGCCGCCTGCTTCTCATCTGGATGCTGGTGCTTCTGCTTTAGGGTGGCCCGCATGGCCAGCACTGTGTCCGTGTTCTTGGTGTCTGAGGCGGTGCGTGCCAGCTTGTTTTTGACGGCTCCGGAGCCACTAGAGGCGACCGTCGTGTTCTTGGAATATGCACCAATGGAGTTGCGGCCGTCGCTGCCCCGCTGAAACTCGGAGAGCATCTGCTCATTGCTGTCATCAAGCTCGGCACGCCGTCCACCCAGGTACTGAAAGTCATTCTCCGACGACATGTCACTGATGCCTGACCTTAGAAGGTTCTCCGTTTCACCGTACCGCTTGCTCTGCTTGCGCATTATCTCCATCTTCATCACGTCCATCGAGGACTGTGACTGTTGCTGGTGTTGCTGCTGCTTGAAGCTCTCCTCGACATTGTGGATGTGCTTCTCTATAGAGCCCAGGGCGAAGGTCACTCCCACGTCGTCCTCGGCAGTCATCAAGGTGCGCGGCGGCTTCTGTCGTTCCTTGGGCTGTGGGTGCAGGGTCGGCATGGCGGAGACGGCCACACGCGGCAGGGGCGGCTTCGCATCGCGTCGTCGCAGCTCTACAATCCCCAACCCGTCCCCGTTGTTATCTTCGGGCTGCACATGGGCGCTGCCATCGAGATCGGGTTCGAGATCCTTGTGGCTGGGACCAGCTGGAGTCCTCATCGAACTGGCAAGTAGTGTTCTCTCACGCTCCGGCAAGATTCCGTCGCTTTGGTTGTTGTTGCTGTTGTTATTGTTGCTGGAGGTGGTTGTGGTGCTAGCGGTAAGGGGTACGGATAGCTTGGGCGGCGCCGGGGCCGCCCCCTTGCGTGCTGCATAGAGCCGGACACTCTTCCGTGTGGTATCGCCACGGTTCAGGTCAGGTGTTTCCATTGTGCTGCTGATTCTGCTTCTGTTGCTGTTTCTGTTTCTGCTTCGAGAACGGTAGCTCCACTTGTAGCTTCACCTGCTGCCTGCTGCTTCGCTGCTCTATGTATTTCTTGTCTTCTGTAAGAGTGTGTTTGTGTGTACGGTGCACTGCACACATGTAAGTAAGTACTTGTCGGAGAGATCACAACTTTTTCTTTTAGCTTTTGGAGCTATTGTTCTTTTATGTCGGCTGGCCACACTTGCTTTTGTTACACTGTAAGTTTAGATATGGGGAGGGTTAAGGGGAGGAGGTAGGGTGAGATTATTTTCTCTGCTTTCGGCATGCCAGTGCATCTGTGTGGGTGTCGTCTTTGTTTGGACTCGTTTCTGTGTGTGTTTGTCTACGACTGACATTTTAGAGTTTTTCGCTTGAGAACATTGGCTTTTTGCTCTTCATTTAATTACTTCACTTTACTTTATCACTTATACTCCACTTTACACCTGAGTGTGTGTCTATGTGTCTGTGCGCGTGTGTGTCTTTACAGTTGCTTTCTAAATAATGATCGGTAAACGGGAACAAATTCAAAGTCGTCTTTGTTTGTTTTGTCGCCTGGCCACACAGTTGAGGCGCATTTTAAACCTCGAAAATGAATTAACTTCCATCCGTACATATGTATAGATAGGTACACATATACATATATAGCTAATGTATACAAAAAAAAAAATGCTGTGAGCGTAATATTTACGACAAAAGGCGGACAAGAGCTAATCTGTCTCCCCGGTGACACTGAAATAAACACAAGCAACATACGTGCTAGAAAGAAATGCCCATAGATGTGTTAGTGGAGAGAGCGAGAAAGAGCTAGAGTGAGAGATATAGAGAGAAACAGCTACACACACGCTCCGGCCGACGCACACACCTGCGCCGTAAGCTGTTACCTGCGTGTGTGTGTGTCTGTACGTTGGCTTTCGTTTCTCTCTCTCTCTCTCTTTTTGTGGGGGCCCAGCTGAGATGCTCTCAGCTCAACTGTGTGTGTCACCCTCCCCCTCCTACATTTACATCTCTCCCTCTCACACTGCTGTTTCGTTTCAAGCTCTCTTTTCGCTTTATGATTCATTTTGCCTGAACGCTATTCTTTCGATTTTTTCGTTGTTGATTAAATTACTGTCCAAATAGTAGCAATGCCTCGGATCTAACTATCTGTCTATCTATGTATCCCCATGTACAAGTATCTAAAATTCGTTTTGTTCGTTAGCTTCTTTTTGGTTCAGTGAGCAGCTGAAAAGCTCCAATGCACACACACACACACATATCAGAACCAACACCAATGCAGCTTTTACACCAACACACAGGCAAAGAGTCGAAAGCAAATGAACTACTTTTTAGACAATTAAGCCGACTTTTTCACTTCTTTGTAACAGTTAGGATTTATATATAGATATCTCTTTATGTTTCTCCCCTTATTAGGGAGCCGAGTATCACTTTTTCGCACAAATCCCGTTTTCGTTTTTTATTCGCGCAGTTATCTTATCAGTCACACACGCGGGGCTTTCGAAAGTTCTTTGCATTTGCATTTACCCAGCGCAGAGGAGTGGGAAGACAGTACTATATTTTAGATTTATTTGTCTTTATTAACGGCCGTCCGTCCCTTCCATCCGTTCGTGTGTAACTCTGACGTAAACGCGCCGCTAGCCCCAGAGCCAACTGCTCGTACAATCAACAGGCGGCAGCGGACAGCAGAGAACACAGCAACGACAACCGACAAACCGACAACGACAGCTCAGCAGCCAAGAGCCAAGAGCAATAGCCACTTTAGCCACACGAACCAACAGCAGCAACTGGAGTGCGAGTGAGCGAGCGAGTGCGAGTACTCCAAAGCACAGGCAGAGGCATCGTAGAATGGCGGCCGAGCCGAGGCAGAGACGTCGGCCTTAATACACACTCACGCGAATGGATTCAGTGGGCAGCACTCTCTCTAAAAAACACACACAGACACGTTGCAGGCCCCCATCATTCCCCCAAAAAAGTATCTCGACAGAGAGCCCCGTTTTGGAGCTCTGATTTAAGAATGTGTGCGAATGTGAGCGTTATATGTATGTGTGTGCAGCTGATATCACCTGAGCGTAACGCTGAGCAGTAGAGAGGTAGAGAGAGAGCGAGAGATTACTGAGAGCAGTTTTCAACGAATTCGAGTCTTGGTCTGAGGCTCCTCCAATGATTGACGCAAATCTTCGTGTTATGCAAATGGTTGCTGCTCAGCCTGATCTGATCTAACACGCTCATGCAACCTGCTGTTCAATGTCTATAGGGATGGATTGGATGGTTGATCCCAACCACATGACTACCAGTCCCTGATTGTGGGCTGAAACAGGTCGGGAGAAATGACCCAGTTTGTATATGATATAAAAACCCCAAAATTAGAGTTTTGCCATCAGTACTTAATAGGAAAGCCCACTCCGAATCGGATATCCTACTAAATACCTGCTCCGATAATGTTTAATTGCAAATTTGCTTATTTCATATCTCAAAAGGCAATCTGATTCTGGGAAGACCCGTAATACCCTCTGCCAAAGTATAGTCAGGAACAACAGAAAATGATATTGAGATAAAAATGTGTAAACTGATATAATGGAAAAAACTACTGCGAATCGGATATTCTACTTAATACATATGTACCTACTGTATTGCATTATTCTGGGAAGACTCGAAAAATAAAATTGAGATAAAAATGTGTAAAATTATACAATGGAAAAAAAGCACTCCGAATCGGATATTCTACTAAATATGTACCTACTCCGATTACGTTTATTTGCAAATTTGTTTATTTCATATCTTATTAGGCAATCTGATCAATTGCATTATTCTGGGAAGACTCATAATACTCTCTGACAGAGTAGAGTCAGGACAACAGCAAAAGATATTGAGATAACAATGTGTAAAATGATATAATGGAAAAACCACTCCGAATCGGATATTCTACTAAATATGTACCTCCCCGATTATGTTTATTTGAAAATTTGTTTATTTCATATCTTATTAGGCAATCTGATCGATTGCACTATGCTGGGAAGACTCATAATACGCTCTGCCAGATTATAGTCAGGAACAATAGCAAATGATATTGATATAAAACTGTGTAAAATGATATAATGGAAAAGGTAAACATAGACAGAGGCAGACACCCGAGGAACGAGTTATAGAAATTCAATACAACTCCAGAGTTGAGTTCAAATTCCTCGGGAAAACTTTCAACAGACGCGTATTCAACAACAGGCGTGTGTATTCTCTTATTTACATACATAAACACATGGATATGTACACAAAGATTTCATTTGAAAGAAATTGGATAGTAGAAAACAGTTTCCTTACACTCGTTGTTACGGGAATTTCAGTTAATTAACAACCCACAAGTGCAGCCTGGTATGCTTTACTCTGCTCGTGTCTAGTATCGCACACATGTTTGTATTAATTAAGGCAATTGAACAACTTGCCTCTTTAGTCCATGTTAAACAAGGAAAACAACATACGACTCCAAGACCCTATAATCTCTGGAAAGCGCACGACAATATCCTAATCCTTTCCCCTTTTTCGACATTTGCCAAAATATTGGTATGACCTACGATCATTTATTGAACCCACTAAAAGCTACTCCAGCTACCACCACTCTAATCAATATAATTTAGTCTCCAATATCAGCTCAAAAATATAAAAAAAAACCCGGTCAAGGTCAAGTGTGCAATTAGCAAAAACAAATGTTAATTTCCGCTCGTATTTTTGGGTAAGGTGGAATCTAATTGAAGGTGAGGGGGGAAACAAAAAAATCTGAAATAAAACAAAAGCCATAATCAAAATAATAGAAATGTTAGTTAAACCAAATCGAAACTCGTTTCAATTTGTATCACGGCACGAACAACACACACAAACACCAAAACCGATGATAGTCACAGAAACTTTGTCATATGTGAAGAAAAACGGCGACAAAAGAGGCGATTACGATTAGATTGAATGAACGCATCGACAGGGTGGGCTAAGAATTGCATTTTCGTATAGGAAATGCTGTGCTTTGGGGAAAATGAATGGATTGCTCATTGGGGACAAGATTACAAACAAATATGAGTATATTTCCGGGGGAATAAAAAAATAAAGAAATCCAACGCTGTGCCTGTGTGGCGCCCACTTGCAATCCGAGACTTAAGAATATTAAACCCAGCAATCAGATCATAACCTCAACTAGATATGTACGTCCCCCAGACTCTGTGTATACATACCCTAGAGGCGCGCGCCTTGTTACTGGAAGATGTCGTATCCTTGGCCTTGGGTCGCTCCGCCTTGCTGGTAGCCACAATTGGCAGTCCCCCGTTTTCAATCATGGTCACCACAATCTTGTTGTTCCGGCTGCCCAACGGTCCGCCGCCGGATGCGGTGCCGTACGATGAATGGCTCTGTTTGGAACTAGCAGCAGTCGTCGCTGCAAGGTTCTTCTGGCGCATGGCATTGGAGAGCCGCTGCTTCCGCTCCATACGGGCTTCCTCCTTGTCCTTCTGCAGCTTGGCAATGGTGGCAGGAGTGTGGCTCTTAGAACGCTTCAGAAACTTCATCAGCTGGCTCTTCACATTAGTGGCTGCGCTGGCAGCACTGGTGGCATCGAGGCCACCGCCCATGTCCTCCGCCCTGGAGGAGCGCCGCGAGATCTGCGCCTTGGTGGGCACTTCGAGGCGACGGAACACCCCGTCCGCCATGCGAACAAAGCAACCCTCGGACATTTTGTGAAATGAGTCCGAGGGCAGCTTGTGGAAATCGCCGTTGGGGCCGCGGAAGTAGCAGTGGTCCGTCCGGTGGTAACCGTCGCCCACAATGTAGAACTCGTTGCGGTTCTCCTTGGGAGCCGAAATCGACTCAGCGGCCAGATCGTCAGTCTTAGCGCTGCGGTCCACCGGCCTTTCCACCTGGATGGCCATCAAGTTGGTACTGCTGCTGGCCGCCTCCCCGGGTTGCGGCACGACCGATCCGTTGCTATCCTCCACTCCTCCGTGGGCGGCACTCGACGAGGTGGACGTTTGTGGTTGTGGCTTCAGCTCGCTGATCGTCACTGGCCGGCGCTGGGGATCTCCCATGTTCTTGCGCATAATGCTGCCATTGCGCAGCAGGGAGTCGCGCAAGAGGGAGAGCTCGTCCTTGCGTAACGGCTGCACCAGTGTTGTGTAATGTTTCGACGATGTGGATTTGCGCCCCGATGTGCGCCGGTTGCCAAATTGTGATGTTGCAGTGGCGGTGGCGGTGTCGTTGCCGGCGTTGAGGGTCTCCTCTTTATTGTTATTATTGTGGCTGCTCGAGTGGGTCTGCCGGTGACTCGAGGTCTGGCCCATGATGGGAGCTTGGTTTCTTTGTTAGCCAACTGATTCTCAAAGATCTGGCCGGGCCTGGTCTGATCCGCTGAATTGGTTGTTAATGCCTTACGGATATTCGCAGTCGCTTCTTGTTGCTGCAGTTTTTGTCCCAATTCCAATGAAATTGTGACACATATTCCTATTTTCCCGGAGATTCAAACAGATCCACAAAACAGTCAGTATTCGTCGTATGTCAGCATTTAGAGCCCTTTTCTAGATTTATTTATTTGTATACTACGTTTAAACGTGTATTCACATTAGTATATACAACAAAGAGTATTGTATTGTATTTTATTTTATGTTATTGTATGATAAATTTGTTCGTCTGTATGGCACAATCTCGATTCGGTCGGTCGTGGCTTTGTCGCTGCGACTTTTCAAAAGTTCATCTTGTTTAATTCTATTAGAGCATTAACAGCACAAATAAATGAGAATTGAAGCGAGGCTCAGTTTCAGTCTCAGTTTCAGTCGCATTTGCAGTCATCATTCCCTGTCAGAGTCACAATAACATCAGTAGCAGCCTATACTCTGTTCTTTAGTTTTATTATTCCTGTCTGATCCGCCTCTTATATACGAGTGTCTACTAGTGTATGCACATTCTATTTACATATCTAGATTACCTTCCTGTATCACAGAGATCACAGAGCAGAGCGTAAATGAGGCAGGGGGAGGGAACTGCTTCTTATCAGTTATCGCACTTTACATATCCGTATCTGTGTGTACAAGACGCATTCCCGATAATTTCCACTGTCGCCTAAATGCGATCCACACGGTAGCAGAAGCAGCTTCAATGTCTAGTGTGGAACGTAAGCCTCGGCACGCCCGAACCGAAAACGTAGATACAGAGTATATGACCAAAAACAACAACAAAAAAACTACTGCCACACTGGCGAACGCGGAGACACAGTGGAACAGAGAGACAGAGAGAGAGAGAGACAACGATGAAGCCCCACACGTTGGGGGCACAAGCTATTTTTGTTTTTCCCTTCCTCCAGCCCTCTCTCTATCTATCTATCACTCTAACTTGCTGCTGTTTCTGCTAGTTACCTCGTTTACGTTGTTTTTAAAGCGTTACTTGCTCGCACTGACACAAACACACTAGCTTTCCGCTGTTGTCTGTCTATCTCCCTCTATCTCGCTCTCACTCACTGCTGCAGTAGTGTTTGTGTATCTGTGTGTGCAGGAATTTGTTCATATTTCATTTTCATTCCGCTTTCGTTCTTTTGGCTTGCTCTCTGCCTTTTGCTCTCTCTCTCTTTCTCTCTTTTGCTCGCTTGTTGCACCATGTCACTTTTTTATACTTTATAATTAAATTAACTTATCATCCCAATTGGCTTTTCTTATTGAATCTGCGGCGATGAAGTGGCTGTAAAGCTACTTTCCAGCTGAATTTACTCATTCCACTGGAATGGTTGCTTGTTATTGCCTTCTTGTTATTTTGTTGCTCTGCTCTACTCTCTCGCGCACACACACACACACTGGCATACATTTGAAATTTATAAATTAAACACTATTTAACCGAATTTATTTTTAAACAAGTCCGCACGTGCGTGTGTGTATTTGTGACTCCCACAATCCCACCCTCTCCAAACGCCCGTCCTGCTGCCCTTGATGTCATCTCAAGCCATTGTCCATCACAGTCGTAAAGTAGTTATGTATAAAGTTCTATCGCGGATGCTGTTGTATTACTCTTGCCACTGGGGGAGATCGCTGACTAACTGCGCAGCCACTAACCGGAGAGCGCAGAGTGCTGCTGCTGCGTTTCGTTTTTATATTTTTTGCAATCTTTTTCAATTTTTTATTTGACGTAACGCCAGCCCCGTTACCCTTGTGCTCGGCGCGATAACGGTCACAATGGCAAACGCGTATAATGCGAATAATGCTAAAAAGTTCCAGTCAAATCATCGCTGGGCGATAACCACCATGATATCGTCGGATCGTCGTCGGGGAGGCAGCGACGCGACGGATAATGACAACAACGACGGTACGGCACGGCGAGGCGCGACGAACACGACGACAGTGACCACACGAGTGAAGTGGAACTTAATACTAAAACAAGCTTTCGACCATCGCTTGTATCTATGGCTGTGGCCTGTGGATGTGGAGGCGACTCGATTCGACTGTTGCTCGTTCTGTTATTATTGTGGCGAGCTTCGGGCTTGTTTGTTTTTTCGCAAAAGTTCTGCAGCGGGGGCTTACTCAGAGCGGCTGTTCGTTAGGTCGTCCAATGTGCAAAGACAGCCACGACACACCCTATACACACACAGTCTTCGGGGCGCAGGTAAACTGCAGGTGATTCACAACGCATACGTGTGTGTCTCATGCTCACGCACACACTGTTATTAATGCGAGTATAAGATATTCGTCAGTGAGTGATAGAGAGAGAAAGAGAGCCACAGCCAGAGAGAGGAAGCTTTGGCATGCTTCAAACGGATCTTCATCAGTAGGAGGAAGCATAAGTTTAAACTTGGCTTCCAAACAAAGAGTGGATGGAGCTTACAAAAGCTTTGTTGCAAGCGAACAAAGTGAATGGCAAAGGAACGGCTGGCTATATTCCAGCAGTTAATTACGAGCCCACACACACAACCTATCGTATTCGAAAAAGGCAGCTTGTTAAGCTTATGTATTTGCATGAAAATATCTATGTACAAATGCAATGCAATGTGTAGTTTATGTGTGGATAACGCACACCAAATGGAAATCAAAACAGTTACAAGCTTGTGCGGCTCTCTGAGAGAGTGCCGTAGATCCCCCAGAAAAAGAGTTGGAAGCTTTATCTACGACACAGCTGACGATTTAAGTATAATAAATGTGGTTTCTGAATGGACAAGGTGTGCATTGCAATTCACTTGACTCACTTGTTATATTTTCCAAGTGTGTATGTGCCTTCCCATTGCGAATCCAACTCAAAGTGGTTTAAAGAGTGTTTGCTTTGCGTTTTGATTTGTAGTTAGCATGTCTACATATTTTGTACAAACAATCCACATTTAAGGTTCCAGCTGGCTTTTGATCTCACCACTGTCTCACCATTAGCACACCTCACACCTACACCTTCCTAATCGTTCTCAATCTTTTTAAAGTTTCAATTTGAAGATTAACGGAGTTCTTCTGCAGTTACCCAACACTATTTGAAGGTAACAAATACTGATTTCTGTATGTCTTCCTTATCCTATCCACTCTCCACCACTGTCTGTACGGTACGTAGAACATTTTCCATACTCTAACATTCCCGGATATACACAAATATTCTATATTATTAATAATCAACATTTAATAGGCTACCTTAGCAAAATAATGAAATATGATTAGAGGAAATATGAGTACTGATTGGTAATGGGACTCGCACAACAGACAGTTTTCCCAGACAGACTGAACCACTCTGAAAGGTTTTCAATCTGTGCAGGTTATTCCATGATACGTTCACGAATGATTTTTTCCCACAAACCCAATCTTAGATTGTTATACGAGTATAAAACGTTTCCCCTTCCGCCGAGAATATAGGACATTTGACTCTTAATTAATGGACAATACAGGGAATAATGACCCAAGCCTGAGTAGAACGATACTCTGAGTAACAGGGAGTAGGTCGAACAAGTAGATGAACAGGACGGGTAACAGATACAGGTAAAGCTACAGAAAGAGGAGGATGAGACTCACCTTGGCGGATGCGGTTCGCTGCTTGATGGCAGAGGCGTGAGCCGAGTGTGTGCTGAGAACATTCTTGTTGACTGAGGAAGGCACGGCCGAGCCCACGCCGGTGCCAGAGTTGTGGTGGTGATGGTGGTTGATCGTGGATGCCGCAGCAGTGGCGTTATTGCTTGAGAGTCTGGCACCGTCCGTGGTCATGTTGTTGGCCACGTGATGGTGGTGCTGATGGCTGTGCTGGTGCGAGTGGTTTGTATTTGCCGTGGCCGAGGCAGCGGACACCGAAACAGGCACGGGAACGGGCGTGGAAGTCACCGCACCCGGCACGGGGGTGGTCGTCACCGTCGGCGTTGGCGCAGCCGCAGGGCTGTTGCTGATAACCGCATTCGAGGACGTTATTATGGGCATCACCGTCGTGCTGGCTACAGACGTTGTCGTTGGTGGCAGTGAAACAATGTTGGCATTGGCGGAATCATGCTGCTGCTGCTGTTGCTGCTGCTGATCCTTGACAGAATGCGAGGATGTGCTGATCGAGTTGTTTGCGTAGGTAGTTGTGCTTGTGACGGCCGCCAGAGGAGGCGTCGCAGTGACACTCGAAGTAGTGGCCGATGACGCTGCAACGGTGGTTGCTGTGCCATTCGAAACGCTCTCGGCTGGCAGGGCTTCAGGAACTGGCTGCAGTGTGGTTCTCATTGCCGTAGACATAGTTCTACCAAGTCCAATTTACTGCTGGCTCAAAAATGAGTGATCTTGGGGTCCGTGCAGGTCCTGCTGGGGTTGGTACGTCCACAACTATCGTGAGATTCAATCGAGCGTCTCGGCTTCACTCTCCTGCCCGAACTGCACTAGAGTACTTTGCCGTCGAGTCTATACTGTTTCTCCTCCTAAAGTTATCCTAATGCCAGGTGGGCTTCCTGTCATTCGAGGAGCTACTTAACATCTGCAAATACAGTGAGAATATTTTTTTATTAACATTATTATTATATTAATTATTATTACATTAATATCGTTGCTGATCAAAGTGGGGCTTATAGTAATCCCTGTTCGTTATTTGACTGACTGCTTCCTGAAATCTCTTAACTTAATTTCCTAGCTGCCAATTTTAATCTCAGATTATGCATTTGTAAACTATTTATATATCAAATGAAGCCTAGACACTATTTGCGCTGTCTTTGGTCAATCATATTATATCACGTTATATATTTTTTCGAGCAAAAGTATGAATCGGAATAGTCCATTTTGGAAGAACGATTTCCCTATACATATTTATTCTAATATTAATGATGGAAGTTGCAGCCATTATTTTTGAGAATATTCACAAGCTGTTCAACCAATTATTAACTTTAACTAAGAATCTATTTCAGGAATACTACTTTATAATTTTATCGTACATCTAGACAACAGTTCCCACCGTTAATTACAAATAATCCCGTTTCACAGTGCGTTTGGTGTCTAATAAGAACCATTAATGTAATAAATTGATATTTCTGTTGATTATTGATATTAAACGAGTTCCTATTGAATTTTTTGTTACTTTGTGCCAAATTGTAAGCATTGTCAAAGTAATTTTTGCTTACAAAATACGCACTTGCTCGAAACTTAAGAGTTCTGCCACAAGTTTTATTTCGTTTGACAAAAGAGTTGAATGAATTGAGCTAATGGATCATTGGGATTAAGCAAAAAATCTGTAACTAAGTCCGTACAAATACAGGTGGAAATTAATAATTATATTGGGATGGCTTTAATATAGTTAAAAATGGGTTTGACATGATTGATTCTTTTCCTTTCTTTATTACTGTTTGCGAACACTTTCAGAGTAAGCTTTCGGGTAGGTAGGGTATTCATTTTCCATGAATCTATAGAAATAAATTCCGATTTATTTTGTTTGGAATGTAGTCGGTGAATAGGAAGTCAATGACACTCTCGATTTCGGCCTTCTGCTGTATCTGACGCAGCGAGAGCAGCTCCTGTCGCACTCCGGCTCCAATGTGGTCGCGAGCGAGTATGTCTTCGATTTTCTTGTTGTCCCTACTGCTAAGGGCAACCGCACCGATGGAGAGTGTCGGTATTTCGGAGGGGTGAAGGCCAATCCACCGCAGCGTAGGCGTAGCTAGTTCTCCCGACGTGAAGCTCATAGACTGCGAGCCGAGACGATAGACGAGCATTATTTCAATGCCAAACGGATCGGCGTCGACGAGTATGTACGCCGGCAGGTGGCACTCTACGGAAAGTCGATGCAAGATGCGCCGCGTGCGGCAATCTGGATAGCCCTTGCCGGTCAACAGGATGAAGCGACGACCAAAAGTGTTGAAAACATCGCGGGCAAGCAGGCTCTCGAAAACCGACTCCTTTTCGACCACCAGCACAAGGTCCGCCTGGGTGACAATGCGTTCCACCTGCTCGGTGTTCGAGGGCAACGTGATAGCCCCGCTATATACGCTGCAGTCCAGGACATCTCCGTTAGTCATGAGCATCCGTATGTTGCCTGCAAGATATCAACAACTGGTCAGCATGAGAAGAGAGGATCGCCTAGCTAGCTCGACTCACCTGCGATGAGGCCCTTGGAGGCGGAGAGCACTCCCAAGCGAGTGGGCGACGTGTTCAGCATACGACATACGTCCAATCGGGCTGCCGAAATGTGCAACTGCGTCCTTATCAGCTGAGTATCGCCGTAGTAGAGACCCCGGACCGTGTAGCTGCCGCCGTTCACCTGCAGGCGGTGAATCTTGGCCAGCATGTAGACCACCAGACAGAAGCGATGGCGACTCCGTCGATTGTTGTACGAAACTCGGCGATATTTGTTCTCATTCCGGGGTACCTTGAAAGTGGCATCGCCGTGGAGCACCAAGCTCGCTAAGAGTCGCACCACAATCCCCTCAACATCCTCGCTCATTTTCCGGTTCTGATGATCTAATCCACAAGGCTTAGACAATCAATCTTAGATTCTATTCTTAGGTAAATTAAGTAACTTTGACTTCAAATTAACTAATAGCTAGGGAAATTCCACAAATTTGGTTATTTTCTTATCATTTTTACATATTTATATTTAATGCTAATGCAGTTGACATTTTTTCGATGGTTTACACATTTATTATAGCTTTCAAACTTTGAAACTCTTGGATGGAAACTGTATTCCCTTGTTCTCTGGAGACTGCGCCCTTCTACCGTTCTTATTGTTCTATAAATTAGATGGATTAACAATTGCAACAGCTGTTTTTCTTTTTTCCTGACCACGCCCCCGAACCTGAATACGGGAACATTAAATCCAATCAATTATTTATCCCATCAATTCGGGTTTTTCAATAGCCGGGAAAATGTTAGTCAGGAGGGGCAGGATGTTGTCAGGTCGTCACACGCCCACCCATACATATATATATATACATGTAGATTTGTGTGTGCGCATGGGAATAAGTCTGCATATTGCTTTATACGTATTGTAAATACGTAAGCATGTACATTTATATAGAAACTTACATATACCCCGATGGGTTGCGTTTTGGGAACATTAATGCTTCGTAAACGTTTATCGCGTAAATCATTGCGTGGAAACGTTCGAGTGGGTTATAAATAATTTAAGTACGGGAGCTTGGTGGCTAAAAATACAATCACCAAAAATTCCCTTTCTGCCAAACAACTGTTTTTTAAATATTAACGCAACACTCGCACTCCGCACACACACACGCGTTAAACGTACACGTACTCAGAGATGGGCACGAAGGGAGAGAGACACTTGTACATAAATTTATGTGAATTTCTTTCTTTATTCGGTCTTTCTTTTTTCGTATGTGCAGAAAATTGTACTCGCTGTTACAGAGCACACACACACGAACGCACAGAAAGCGCTATATTGATGGGCGGAAGCGGGGGCGGTGTCGCTGGCGGACTAGGCGGGGGTTGGTACTGCCAACGAATGGGAAAGAAAAACTAACGAAACGGAATGGCAGCCCCTTAAAGTATTGATTTGCTGGCGCTGGTTGCCCCGACTCGCCATCCCATCCGTTCGACTGCGCGGAGCGCCGCTGGGCGGCGGTGAGCGGTGCGGCACTCTCTTCTTATACTTACCAATAAAATAAAATTTCCGATCGGGCCTGGGCAAAGAAGTGGTTAGGCGTTTGCTACGGCTGCTGTGTTCTGGGGTTTCGAGGGGTCCGGTCAGGCACAGCACTTCCTTCAGCACAGATTGTTTCCATCGATGTAACACATTATTATTATTTAATTTATCTCCTTTCTTTTCCTTTACGATTTTCACACAGTGGTTTCAGTGGAAAGGCCGACTTTTACCGAACAGAGTCGAAAGAGACGACAACTGACACACACAACGAAATGCAAATGCAATACATATCTTTCTCACTCGCTCACACACTCACTCGCTCGCAGCAGCAGTAGCGCTGCTCTGGTTTTCAATCAGATTTTTATCTTTTCTCTTGCTATTATTATTGCTTTTTGTTATTACGATATTACCGAGACGGCCACCGAATTTTCACAAAATTACAGCGATTGACCACGAATATTTTCTTCAGCTCTGCTTTCTTCGTTGGCTATATATTCGTAGTTATGTATCTATGTATTCGTTATGTACATTAGAGGTGGAGAACTATCGATAGTGGGCACCATCGATAGTGTACGATAGTAAATTTTAAACCATCGATAGTGATCGATAGTCGCAATGGAAAAATTGTTTTTTTTATGTATAACATATGTTAAGTATTTTTTTTTATTTAATCCACAAATTTTGGTTTAAAAATAAGAGGAAGTTTACGTTGTCCTCAGTAAGTTTTGTTCGCCTTTCGCAAACAATTTTCCCAGCCTTACTGAACTCCCTTTCCGACTCCACAGATGTGGCGGGGATGCAAATCAAAAAATTAGCCCGAGTCATGACTATGGGTGTCCACTTAAATAATCCTTCTTATTGGATTGTATGACCACCTTATGACCTTATATATCACAAATTTTTAGTTGAATTTTTCATTTCAATTACCCCTTCTGAAAACAAAGGCGCTTTATCTCCATGTAAATGTATATAAATTACACTACTCGACAATTTTTTTAATTACAAAAAAAAATTAAGTCCTGTCCTGTCAAAACAAAGAGAAAATTTCCTATGGACAGGAGAAAAAATCCTCAAGGGACATTTCAAAAACATGCTTATGGGAGTTTGGATACCCTATATTATTGAATATGCCTTAAAAATTGAATTTAATTGACGGATGATATTCATTAAATATACCATTAGGTTCAGATATACCGTAAATATCCAATGAACTCGATTTCGTATTCAAAATATCCTGAAAAGTTTTTAATATACCTTAAATGGTCACTCTTGTACATACATACAGTTTGAACGCAGATTTATCGATCAAAAATACCCCTAAGCGATATATCGAAATATACGTTCTCATTTTTAAAACAGTCCGTAAATATACCGATCTCTAAATCGTTTTCTTTGATTTTAATATTCTGGTAGATGTTACTGGCAAGTTCAAAGTCCCAGCCCTGAAACTATAATTGTGTAAGATTGATGAATCGATTGTATACAAGATGGGTTGGTTTTAGGAATTCCTTCTATTGGAATGCTTGCAAAAGTAGACAAAAAACGTTAAGCTAAATGACAGTTGTTTAATTTGATAGCTACACAATAACTACACATTTGCTACATGTAATAAATCTAAAAATGTAAGAGAATAAGATTTACTTCGCGCCCAACTCCCATTTCAAACGTGCGAAATATCGGAAAACAATAACAAATTTAGATTTATATTAAATGCAAGTTGAACTAAGATCACATTTCGTCGAAATACTTAAAGCACCGTTTTTCTCTACCGTTTAATGGATGACCAGCTTGGTGTTCTTTGGGTTCGGAATATACTTCTTCTTGTACTTTTCGAACATCTTTTCCAGCGCCTCAATAACCTGGCCGTGCACCTTGTCCACGTAGGCGGCATCCGGTTGATCGCTCTGCACCACATTGATGGGTGCACCCACTGTGGAAGTGAGTGTTTCATTTTAGATTAAGTATTCAACTGGAGTAAAATCCCGAAAGAAAACTCACCAACTTGCACGATGCGACGACGATTGGGCAGGAAGCCAAAGGAATAGTTGAAGATGCCACGACCCACTGGAATCAGCGGCGATATGCCCGTCAGCTGTTTCACCACAGTCTGCACGCGACGCACAAGGGAATTGGGAGGATTGGGCACCTGATCGAATATGTCCACCTCCCCGAAGGAAAACGTGGGAACAATCGGTGAGCTGCATTGAAGCGGAGGTTGGAAAACCTTTAAAATATTTACTCTGCCGTACATTTACTCACCCCGTTCGGATGGCCATTTTGACGAATCCTTTGCGATTCCTCAGCGTCACAATGTACTGCCCTGGATGGGAGTCCATGGCCTCTTGGGCGCCACCCACGAGAATGGCCACCGCATTGGATGTGAAGCCATCACGATTGTCCGCATGCTTGGGATCATTCGACTTGGTTAGCAAATAGTTGAGGGCAGCCTTCGACACGGACACCAGGCCCCAGGAGCGCAGCACCTCACGTCCAATGGGTATCAGGAAGTTCTGATCGAGAGTGCCCACCTTGGGGCGGATCTTGGGGAAGAGCTCAAGCCAGCGTGAGATGTCCAGGCCCATGTTGATGCCGATTCCGTTTCTATTTCAGGGATCAGTGTTCAGTTTCGTCACTGGAGTGCTTCGATAAGATTGGGCTATCTGTCGACATTCTTACCCCAGTATGCCGTGCGGAAAGCTGGCCAAGATATAGTTTTTGTTTGGTGGCAGCTCGGCTGTTTTCACCAGCTCCACGGGAAAGTAATTGCGATAGTGTCGATACAGGCGATTAGAACGGTTTAGCAGCCAACTGAAATAGATTTCCAAATGGATTTATTTCTTACCAAATCTGCTTTGCACACTCTGCACCTGATACCTACCCATTGCCATCAATTACAGAATTGTTTCTTTTGTGATCCACAAACACGTAGATCAAGTAGATGAGCACCAAGCTGCGTAGTATGAGTCCACCATAGAGCTAAAGGTAGTCAAAATGTCATTAAATACATCCGATTATCTCTGCAGTTTCCTTACCAGCGATGCTAGAATAATTGGTATGGCGGTTATTGAGAGCATAAAACACGTGAAAGTGATCAGAAACGTCACCAGAGTCTGCAGTCGCCGGCGTGGCGGCACTTTCAGCGGTGCCCATTCAATTTTCATATTTTCCCAATACAAAAAACACCTCACGGATCGACAGTCAAGCGACTCTTGCGACGGCACTCCAGCAACTGAGTGGCAGCAACTCAATATTGTTCGGCACTTGCACTTATCCTTATCAGTGGTCGAGCGTACACGGGGGCCCCCAGCTGTTAATAGAGGTGTGTTAACGAGTACAAATTTGTTAGCCGAAGAGTACCCAAGAGTACCCACTACTTTATAGCTCGAGTCAGCGAATTTCGAGTCGTTCGCGTAGTGATAATAATCCAATTGGTTGTTGCATTGCAATCATCGTCTGGCAAATTATATGTTTCGGGTTCAAGGTGTTGCCCCGATAAGCGCCAAGTCTCGACCCCTTTAGAACAACATTCTTTCACTCTCCAAATGTTTAGTTTGGTTTTTAAGCATTTAATGAGACTTGTTTATCGGGTACATATTGTGGGTAGCTACTCACATTTAGCATTCAATTGTGACTGCAACCAGATCAACAACTGCAGTTCTCTCAGACTAATGAACATGAACTGAGTGTGTGGCACGTGGAAATTCAATGGATTCAATTCCGATCATTCCTGCTCCACGTAAATTGTGCCGACGATTTGCTTATTTGTTGACCCCGTGCCAAGAATTTTCTCGCAAACAGACAGACAGAACACACCCGTCAACGCTGCCGCACAATGTTCAACTGGCAAATGCTGAGTGTAAGGCGAGTAGCGAATTAATTCACTCATTTATATACTATGCAAAATGTGCGCTATAAGCTGAAAAACATTGAAAGTAAACATGCATATCCATGTAGCGACAGAATCACATAATAATATGCCGACTTTGCATTAAATACAAATAAACAAACATATATTTATGCATAAACTCGTAATAGATGCTTTTGTAAGGCAGATTGAAGATCAAAAATATGTGCAGTGTGTCTGGTTACTGTATAATCAGTTTTGTGTTCTTTGACTGCGGTATATATTGCTCCTTGTACTGATCAAACATCTTCTGGAGAGCCTCCATGACCTGGCCGTGTATCTTGTCCACATAGGCGGCATCTGGTTCAGCACTCTGGACCACATCGATGGGCGAGCCCACTGTGGAAATTGGGTTTTAAAAAAGTCCATCTGCCACCACTCCAACAGCTACTCACCAACTTGTACGATGCGACGGCGTTGGGGCAGAAAGCCAAAGGTATAATTGAAGAATCCGCGACCCACTGGTATCAGCGGGGCAACGCCCGTCAGTTTCTTCACCACAGACTGCACGCGACGCACAAGGGAATTGGGAGGATTGGGCACCTGATCGAATATGTCCACCTCCCCAAAGGAAAATGAGGGAACAATCGATGAGCTGCAAGAAGAAACAGGAAATTACTTCCATTATCCTTCCTTAGCATTTATTTCCAGCATCTACTCACCCCGTTCGGATGGCCATTTTGACGAATCCCTTGCGGCTCTTCAGCGTCAGTGTGTACTGCCCGGGATGTGAGTCCATGGCCTCTTGAGCGCCACCGACGAGGATAGCCACCGCATTGGATGTGAAGCCATCACGATTGTCCGCATGTTTGGGATCATTCGATTTGGTTAGCATGTGGATGAGAGCCCCCTTTGATACCGACACGAGACCCCAAGAACGCAGCGCTTCACGCATAAACGGCACCTGGAAATGCTGGTCCAAAGTGCCAACCTTTGGTCGTATTTTGGGGAATAGTTCCAGCCACTTGGAGATTTCCACACCCATGTTAATCCCGATGCCAGTTCTATTGCGGGAAATCAGTAGCGAAACGAAATTAGAGTGCTTGCAGATAAGATTGGAGCTGACTTACCCCAGAATGCCATGGGGGAAGCTGGCCAAAATATAATTTCGGTTTGGGGGAAGCTCCACTGTCTTCACCAGTTCCACGGGAAAGTAATTGCGATAGCTCCGATGCAGGGTATTGGTGCGATTTAACATCCAGCTATGGAGGATAGACCCATGAGTATTTCCGCTAGGAAATTTCCGCTTTGTTTATGGCTTACCCATTGCTGTCAATAATGGAGTGTGTTCTCTTGTGATCCACGTACATGTAGACCAAGTAGATGAGTATCAAGCTGCGCAGCACAAGTCCACCATAGAACTAGAAGATGGATAATATAGCAATACTGACTGGAAGGTTTTCCACTTACCAATGAAGCAGCCACAAACAAGTAGGAGCAGAACAACAGCACAAGGAATGCCATGGTGAAGAGTGCCGTGACAAATGTTTGTAAACGCCGTGCCGGCGACACTTTGAGTGGTGCCCATTCGATTTTCATGATTCCCGTTGATGATTCGCCACGGACCCTAAGACAAAAGTCTTCCAACTCTGTTAACTTCAGCGGAGCTACTGAACGACAGCCGCCAGTGCAGACATTAAACAATTGCCACTGGACTAGAAAAACACTTATGATTATCACATTATCAGTAAAGCAATCCGAAATAGTTGCTAACATCCACCGACTGACGACTGGTGGGCAACAGTTCTTTGTTTGGGGGGTAGCAAAACATTCCGATTAGCGTCTGGGAAATCATATTTCACTGGGTCAAAGTCGAGTATGAGCACTTCACCAATTCTGCCACTGAAATCAACATAATCATCCTTATCAAAGCACCTGCTAGAACAGTCACTTGGACTGGCGAAATCAAATTATGCGGAGTCGATTGAGATTAGTGAATCATGTTTTAGATTGTTTTGATAATGGCTGGTAATGGTGTGTGACTGTTATTCCATTCCTCTCTGCTTATTTTCTGAATTTTAAATTCACGCGCCACAGAGTTGCAGTTTCTTGGCTATCGTTATGCATTCACTTCGAACTAACTTCGAAAATGAATTCGAAAACTCGAACTGACAGCAGGGGACCGTTCAGTTATATCGCTATTTTTGTAAACAATTCAATAAAAGATGTCATAAAGAGTGGGCCGACCTTGTGGCGAATGTATTGTACAAGCGTAGAAAATTGAAGTTCCCCGGCTAAAAGTCTTAGTTGGATAGCAATATTAAGCAGAATATTAAAATCGAGTAAATATGTGTCATTGACCGAGACCGATTAACCGATAACCAATGACCAATGGGTGTTTAAGTGCAAACTAAGAAATTTATGAAACTTAAAGATTATTAGCGCAGTTTGGTTGAATGAAACGGTGCCCATTCACCGGGTGGCTACAATAAAGATTTACAAGAACTTTTATTTCCCCAATTTGGACAAAGTGTTTACCTATTTAAAAAGGCGGGCAAAAGGGTTGCAAAAGACAGTTAAAGGGTAACAGTTTCAAAGTGACAGATTCAATGTGGAAATGAACTGCCGTCCAACCTGGTGTCTCAGATCGTGTCCCTCTTTGGCATTCATCTGTATAGCGGAATAGGGACCTCGATGAACTTATGACCCTCGGTAGAGCCTTAGCCAGGCCATTAGCTCGCGCCAGCGCCATTGCACCGTCCTTATGTCTGGAAGCCTTCTACGGACAAATCGACGCACAGGACATGGAGTACATACATGCAGGTACATATAAAAAGCGTATAATAAATTAGATATTCATTCGTCGCGACAACAAATATATCATCCGACCATTTCTAAGCCCTTTCAGAATAAGTTGGCTTGTTTCCTTGAGGGAAAATTGTGTCGGTTAGTGTAGATTAGGGTCTTTGACCCTAAAATATTCTCCAAATTTAGTTTACTAATTGTATTTCTCTTTTCATTTTTTAAATATAGGTCATACGCCTTTGCATGGTAACAAAATTAAAGTAGATGCAGTTGATCCAGTTGAAATTATTGCAGATATTGCGATGGGACCCATTGATATTGCAGAATTTTCAATAGCGAATTCCAATCTAAGCGAATTGTGTTCTTTTCAACTAGTACAAATAAAATATGTGCTAAAACAAATGCAATTGCGTATGATCCTTGTGGTATCCTTCGAAACAGTCACAATCCCTACCAGTCATTTGCAGATTATAGAGATGGAGAATGTATACAGATCGGTATTTAGTTCATACAAAACATAAGAAAATGTTAAATGCCTGTCAGTCTAAGACATAGTCACTGTTGATTATTGAAAGCAGTTGATTAAATGGACTTATATTACTAGGTATAGCAAATATATTTTTTTGGTTATCTTTTTCGTTTTAAAATGTAATTTGGTTTTTTTTATTTCATAAAAAGAAATGTAGAACGACCGTAGAAGCACAATGCCGATTAGGAGCATAGATTCCGCGCTGCCTTCGGGTGGCGGGGCTCTAAATATTCGATGGTGTCGATCCGTATTCCAATTGCCCAATTCCTCTGATCGCAGTCATGATATGATTTTCGATTTTTGCATTTCAAATGCATGGGACAGCAGACAGCACATCGATCGAAGCAGCACAAAACAAAACCCAATAAAATGTATTCCATTCCGTTATACACCGTTTTTATCATACCTTCTCGCTGCTCTCGCCGCTTCACTTTCGTCTCATGCTCACGGCTTCACTCTAGTTGGATAGTCCGTGTGCGGTGTTCTGAGATTTCGACGGTAATTAATTCCCAGCTCAATTACAGATTGTGCAGATTAATCCAGCATTAGCTAAAGGGCCACATGGAAATGGATTAAAGGGGATCAAAGTGCATAAAAGAAAAGTGCAATAACCGCTGCGTGGACTGCACGAAAAGAAAGAAAAGCAGCTTGAAGAAACAAATATATTTGCATACACACACACACACCACACACACACACACACATACTGTACACATATGCACAAGAAGAAGTGAAGAAATCGAATAGGAATAACAAAATGATGATTTTCTATGCCAAATACGCGTTCCTCTTTTGGCTGACAATTGGCAGCAACCGCGGAGAACTGCTGCTGCTGAGCCAAATATCAGAGGATGAGACGCTGCTCAGGGTGTCCGCCTGCACACAGCGCTGTCAGGAAGAGACAAAGGTGAGCCTCCCTAAGGGTACTGCTAACACGATGCCCATGACCCCGGATATCACTTTGCAGAACTTTCTGGAGTGCTTCAAGATTTGCAGGGAGCACGAGGACAGCGACTATGCACCCGCAACGCTGCGCAGAATCCAGGAGAACTATCAACTGAAGATGGTATGTCGCACCGAGTCTATGCTGGCCTTTCGCATAGATTGGGTGCAGCACGGCCGGTTGGAGCTGGGGGGCCAGACACCAAACGCCGCGTATATCATCAAGGTGAATGCTGCCAGCGAGGACATTGTAGAGTCGAAGCTCTTTCTGGTGAGTGGAAGAAGGCGATATTTGGGGCCCTATTTGTTAATCGTTTCCACCTGGCAGTCGGATGACAAATTCATGGTCTTGCACTCACTGGAAGCCTACACTGACCACAACATCACCGCTCTGGCTGTACACAGCGATGGCAGCTACTCCCTGATAGCCAACGAGGAAACATTTGGCACCCTCAAGCGTGGCTATCAGCCCAGCAAGATGGGTGCCGTAAAGCTGCGCGGATTTGTCCAGCCCCAAGAAGATGGACAACACATTGCCGCCGAGATCGAGTGGCAGCCATCTGCAGGTGGGTGCTTGTCATTGTCTCTTCCCGTCTCTACCGTCAAGTAAACATTGTACGCCGCTCTAGACCGCAACTGTTTCTTCGATATGGTGTATTATGCAACGCAAAGCGTGACCATGGATCAGCCTATTCAAGTGGAGATTCGAGATGTAAGTGGCAGGATGGTAGGCAAACTCTAGATATACCCTTTGTCTTGCCTTCCCCAGCCTCGTCGACTGTACAGACACACCATCGACAGCCTGAATTTCGGGGAACAGTACATGGTGGGTGTGCGGACGGTGAACTACCTGAACACGCTGGAGAGCGACCTCAAGTGGTTGATGGTGCAGGCTCCCAGCTGTCTGGACTGGCATCACTTCAACTACACGCTCTGCGGTAAGCTAATCAATACCCAGGGAACACGCATAACATAATCCACTTACCCTGCCGTTCGATAGCACCAGCAAAACCCTCAAATCTGTCCGTGACTCAGGAGCAGTACCTGAAGGACACTCTGGCACTGAATGTCAGCTGGGAGCGGCCCAGCCACCTGCCCGACAACTACACACTGCACATCCTCGATCTGCACATGGACAGCCAAGAGGCGAACTTCACTTTGGAGGGGAATGCAAGCTACTGCTTCATTCCCAAAATTAAGGTGCTCGGATCCAGCTTTGAGGTGCACTTGGTGGCCCATACGGCGGGCGGCAGGAATGCCTCTGGGGTATTGCTGGACAAGGCGCCTCGCGAAGATTGGCTAAAAGGTGAGGAGTAGGCAGGTCAATCCGCAATCCTACAGCTGATTATATATCTTCACTCGAATAGAGGGCCACATGATCAAGCTGATTGCCTTTGTCATTGTCCCCATCTGCTGCATCATCATGCTGTGTTCTCTGACGCTCTGCAAGCGCACTCGGCAGGAGCTACAGGCCGTGGACATGGAGTCCAAGGAGAAGGTCAATCAGAACGACTTTCACCTCTCACTGATAGACAACAGCGGCCTGTTGGTCACCCTCTCGGCCAACGAGAGCTTTGACTTTGTAGACGATCTGGAGGTGGAGCCGCATACTGTACTCCTGCTGGATGTCCTGGGCGAGGGTGCCTTTGGCCTGGTGCGACGCGGCGTGTACAAAAAGCGACAGGTGGCCGTCAAGTTGCTAAAAGGTGAGACACAGCGCATTGCTCCAGCCAACAATTGATGTACAACTCTTCCACACAGATGAGCCCAACGAGGAGGATGTGTATGCATTCAAGTGTGAGATTCAGATGCTCAAGGCTGTGGGCAAGCATCCCAATATTGTGGGCATCGTTGGCTACTCCACAAGATACAGCAATCGCATGATGCTGCTCATCGAGTACTGCAGCCTCGGCAGCCTGCAAAACTTTCTGCGGTAAGTAGAGTGATGGCCAGAGCGGCAGTCAAATCTAATTGTGTCTAATCCCAGCGAGGAGTGGAAGTTTCGGCAGGAGCGCAGTGGCGTTCACTTGAAGCAGAAGCAAACACAAAAGCAGGAATGGGAGAAGCGGCGACTGCAACGTACGAGGCGTGATTTAAATCAGGATCCCAACACACGCATTGAGGAGATCAACTGTTCCATGCTCTCCACCGTTGAGGAGGAGGAGTCCGACGCTGATCAGACGCACACCAGCAGCCGCGTGGAAACCTACACTCTGGCAAGAATGAGCCATGCCGCAGACAACAAGTCCTATGGACTCGATGACATTGAAAACATTGGCGGCAGTCTGACCTTGCCAACAGTTCTGAAAGTGGTGCAGCCAGAGAAAGGGGAAGCGCCAGGCGCAAAGCGCACCTTTGAAAACAAGGAATACTTTGATTCGCGGACAGACCCCACGCCGAGTCCCGAACGAGCGCCACTGAAGTACGCAGATTTATTAGACATTGCGCAGCAGGTGGCCGTGGGCATGGTAAGTGCTTGAAGGGTAGCAGTTTTAGATTTGATTCTCATCTCTCGCATTGCAGGAGTTCCTTGCGCAAAACAAAGTGGTGCACCGTGACCTGGCAGCGCGCAATGTGTTGATCTCTCTGGATCGCAGCATCAAAATAGCCGACTTTGGGTGAGTCTACGCGTTGTTCCTTCTTTCTCATAGTCATAGTCCTTTGCTGCTTTCAGGCTGAGTCGCGATGTTTACCACGAGAACGTCTACCGCAAGACCGGAGGCAGCGGAAAGCTGCCCATCAAGTGGCTGGCCCTGGAGTCACTCACCCATCAGGTGTACACCAGTCAGAGCGATGTGTAAGCAGACGCCCAAATCGATTACTTTTCGCTTATGTCTTCTCCCTTCAGCTGGTCCTTTGGTGTGCTGCTCTATGAGATCATGACCCTAGGCGGAATGCCGTATCCATCTGTGTCGCCCAGCGACCTGCTACAGATGCTGCGGCAGGGCCACCGCATGAAGCGCCCGGAGGGCTGCACAGACGAAATGTCTGTGAAACGAAACTCTATTGAATAATGTGCCACTGACAACTGATTTGTTCTAGGTTCGCGCTGATGGAGAGCTGCTGGAGCTCAATACCCTCCCACAGACCCACATTCACCGGTCTCAAGGAGCGACTGGGCGGTATGATTGTGGCCACCAACGAGATGCCGCTTCGTCTGCAAAAGCAAGCGGAGGCAGCAGCCAATTTAAAGTCAAAGACAGAGGCACAGCCCGAGCCAGAACCATGTGAGCAGGAGCAGCAGCAGCAGCAGCAGCAGCTGGACAAGAAAGAAGAGACTTACCTGGAGCCTTGTCCTTAGTGGGACTAACCACAGACGAAATGGAGTTCATTAAGTACGCAACAGAATGATGCGTTTAATGTGCAATATGATATCAATGATAGGAATCAAATTGAGACAATGCTGGGAAGCAGCTACGAGTGCGCGTAACCATTTACCATTAACTTTGAAATAAACTCCAACAATTGCTATGCCATTTCTGTCATCCGCAAGTGTTCCTCGCAGCTGAAACTATTTCAATCCTAATCCTAATCCTAATCCTAACGCTTCGATTCTTCAACCTCTATACGATTTGGCCCCTTTGGACTCTTGCTCGTTCAGCACTTGAAAGCTATCAAAATTGTTAGAAACTATTTTAGACAATGTGCAACTGCTGCGGCCAGCGACAAACATCCTTTCCGCAGATTCCCTATGCCTGTCCGCACTGTCCGATGCGGGACATAGCCAGCAACTGTTCAATAAAGCGAAGGACGAAGCCAGCCAGGCACGTGCCATACTCCAACCAGTGCGACACGCTGCCCGGGAAATGGCTCGCGCTGAACCGCAAGCTAATCACCACAATGGCCGTAAGGATGCGTCGATCCACGCAGACCATCCACTACATGCTGCTACGCTTGCTTCACGCCAACTACGCCGGTGTCTTGCAGATCGTGAGGAAGCGACGAGCGTACAAGGTGCCGATAAGTGGCTACCCGGATGCCCTCTTCTCCACCTTCTCTCTGTTCAATGATCAGGGTTATGTCTCCTTGCCCATGGCCCCGGAGAGTGTCGGCAAGCTGATGCGCATGATGCAGGATTATGTTGTCCAAATGCAGCTACTAAATCGCCAGTACAAGTGGTTCAGAAACGGACAGGATCAGGGCGACCTGGTGGGCCTGTTGGGGCAGCAGGACGAGCTGCTGAAGCTGCTGCGTGGCACCTTCAGGGGCAGCGACACATTGTTCATAAGGTGTCTCCTCACGACGCTGCTCGATTTGGATTTGTTTGTCGTGTTTGGCAAGTTTACGGTGGATCGAAAGCGCTCCAGCATGATAAGAGGCCTTTCGGAACTATACGCTGGTGTGGCGGGACCACAGGCATCCACTCGCTCTCCAAGTAAACGCACTGCACAGAAGATCGTAGACCCCGAGACCAAACCTTCCACACACAAACAAAACAATCTCGCCATTGAGCTGCTTCAGCTCTTCACGGAACACTTGTCTGCCAGGAAGACCCACTCGGACTCGTGTTGCGCATTGCCCAAGAGCTCCACCTCAAAAGCCTTTATTCTGCCAAAGCAGAAAGACCGAGCAGACCCACCGAAGACGCGTTAAGTAATCAAAGGAGGTGCCTGCTGGCGATGGCTGCTGCCCCCAAAGCGTTTGACCTGTTTTGGGGTAGTTACTCTCGCCTGCGGCTGCCTCCCACAAATTCTCTAGCTGTTGGAAAGTAAAGCAAACAAAAAGACGGCATACCCATTGAGAGTTTCATTTAATAACTTAAATCATCACCGCCAAAAGTACACCTCCGATGAGCTCCAGCTAAACACCAGCTAAATTGTAGAAAGAAAGAAAGTCGTACGTATATGTACAATATAAACATATAGAGTTAAGGTATATATATAATATAAGTGTAGATCGTTGAATGGACGAGGATCCATGGGCGAGGAGCTAAGTCCGCTTAAAGCCCAGGCCCAGAATATTCCGTGCCTGTGTGGTGGAAAAAGAAAGGTAAAGCGTGAGTGAAGGAGGTGCCAGGTTTAGGGGCATCCTCACCGTTATGAAAGCTGAGTTGAAGGAACGTTGAAAGGTGTGCGTCATGCCCTCGGTCTGGGAGAGTGCCATTTGCAGCTGTACGGCCTCGTCCATGCGGTTCTTGAGGAAGTCCCACGTCTGGGTATGGCCAGCGGAGGTGTCCTGCAGCAGGTACAATTCGGTCATCTTCATGATGGTCGCCAGGCCAATGCGTCGCGTGTACCAGCCAAACTGCAAGAATAATCAGACAATCATATCTCCTGGCGATTACTTGTCACGCGTCAACTCACGTCCACGGATCGGTCGCCCGAGTAGTAGCAGATGTCGTCCACCAGGGTAAGCACCTGGGCGAGCGCCGTCGACGCATGCTGCGGCTGTGCTATCAGGGACATGGCCTGCGGCCATTGGGCTTTGTACGGGGCAATCATTTCCATGCGCTGACGCACGGCCTGCACAAGGAAGTCGAGCGGGTTCTCGACCTCCTGCTGGCCACTGCCGGTCTTCTGCTTCAGACTCTGCACCAGCTGGGCGTTGCACTTGCCGTTGAAGTGTGAGACGAGGGCGAAGCCGCCTTCGGGGAACATGCCATGGACCACGCTGGGGTAGCCGCACTGCTCGGCACCGAGGACAATCGACTGCCTTGTCCAGCCGTGTTGCGGTACATGCTCCAGAGCCGCATCGAGTATCTGCTCCCGTATGGCATCCACCTTGGCCTGCTTGGCGCTCTGCTCGCCAGACTCTTGCTGATTGCCACCTGCGCCTTGCCCAGTCTCATTTTGTGTGGCTTTGGCAGCCGCCTCCTCGGCCGCATCCCGCTCCCTTTCCAGCTGTTCCTCGCGTGCCCGAAAGTCCTCTAAGCTTCCATTTGCAGTGCTCTTCTCTGTGGCATCTTTAGCATAGCCACGCGCCAGGGAGGCAGCAGCCAGGGGCAGCTGTCTGTGCAAGCGACAGCTCTGTGCATCTGCAAATAGAAGAAGCCACACACAAACAGGCAGGCATGAGCCCCGGAATTAAAGTCATGGACAGAACAGAGACAGTCTCTGTGGCCAATTGATTAGCACATCAGCGGCTCCAATTATCACCCCACCCCGGAGATTCCCCAAACACCACCACACCACCACACAGTTCTCGCTTGTTTCGTTTCGTTTTCGGTTTCTAATCTGTTTACACATACAATTAGTTGACGCTATCATTTCGCTTTCGTTGCTTACACAAATATGCATATAAAAAAGTTAAGAGTCTAAACGGGGGCTGGGACTGTGGCTGCATCTTGGAGGAGTTTGCGCTGGCGTGCGGTCTGCTCGATTACCTCGTTGGCGCGCACATAAATCGACAGCAGCCACTCCAGGCTTGTGATGGAGCTGGCCAGCACCTCGAGCTTCTCCTGGCGTCCGATGTCGGGCAGACTGCTGTCACCGTCACCGGCGATGCCGCTGTTGCTAATGTTCATGGACAGCATTTGCAGTTGTTTCTTCATTAGGGCGTCGTCCGAGGCACTCTGGCCGTTCTCCACGCGCTCCTTGTACGCCTTGTAATGGGCCATCGAGAAGTCCAGGGCCGTGCCCAGAGGCACCAGCAGCCGCTTCTCAATCTCCGGCATAACGTCCCAGAATCCAGTGATGTTCCGCTTGTCGCTCAAAGCAAAGTAGCGCAGAATGTTGATGGCATTACAGATCCGGTCAGCGTGCAGCAACAGATCCGACTTCACGTCGTTGGGCAGCACGCAGATGCACAGCATCAGCATCTCCCGGAAATGCTTGCCGCAGAACTCAGGGGCCATACCCACGCTGCATCTTATGTGGGCTTTCAGGGCCTTGTCCACCAGGTCCTTGTACATGGCACTCAGATAGCCCATCAGGCCATCGTGCTGCAGCGTCTCCAGCAGGTTCTTGAGGATCAAGTACTTGCCCTGGTCATCAAAGGCCAGTATGTAGTGCCGGAGCACGTGCAGGCCCAGCTGGCGGAGTCCCACCTGCGGCGAGTAGCCAACAATCTTGCAGAGCTCATCGCAGAATCGCTTATGGACATCCAGCTGCAGCGAGGAATGGGCCACCGTTGTGCCGCCGCGATCGATCAGCATGTGCTCGAGGAGACGCAGGCCGCAGTGCTGCAGTGGTGGCTCCGGCTGCCGCAGCAGCTCAGTCACCAGATAGAGCACCGACTCGAATAGGAAGACTGGCGAATAGATCTTGGGTGTCGTGGGTGGCAGCAGGTCGCGCACGAAGAGAGCGTGATAGTACATGGCCAGAGCGTGCAGTGGCATCGTGTCCTCGACGAGGAACACGTTCTGGCTAGTCATCTCGTAGACGCCCTTCGTGGCGTTCAGTTTGCGCTCCCAACGGGCGCGCTGCTCCACCAGGGCAAGCAGATAGAAGGGGTCGCCGCCAATGGACTTGGTGGCCTCCTGGGTGAGGTTCTTTACCACCTGATGGACGTAGGTGTGCGTCAGGTCGTCCTTCACGTAGCTCATCTCTAGCAGGGCCAGCGGTTTGCCCAGCAGCTGCACAAGGAAGCAGGTGAGGACATTGCGGCGCAACATGCCGCAGTGGCGGAATATCTGGGGGTCGGGGCGTGCGTCTCGCTGCAGAATGTCCACAAGCAGCGGGGCCTCGAACAGGCCGATGGTAATGTAGTGGGCCAGCAGATCTTCCACCTGCTTCTCCTGTTCCACGAGGCGACCTGCAGCCTCGTCATAGCCCTCGCTCAGATACTTCGGCAGCGGCAAATCTTTCAGGCGCGTGGAGACGCTCTGCAGACACCACATCACCGCCTGCGGCTTGTCCTGGCCGTGCCGCAGCAGGATTACCTGCATGGCCCGCAGGTATGCCGCGAATACAGCGTGACTTCTGCTCTCCTCGATCTTCTCCATTAGCTCCATCATCATCTCCTGCAGCGGGGCGTGCTCGGCGAGCAGTTTCAGCAACTCGTTGGCGCAATCGAAGAGCTGCGGCTCCCGGCCGTTGACCTCGTCCACCAGGTTGACGACGCAAATGTCGTTGTATATGTCCATGGCAATGAGCGGCAAGTGCTGCCTGTTCCTGGACGCCTCGTTGGGGCTCTGGAAGAGCATTCTGACGCCTTCGTAGGCCTTCTCCAGCAGAAGCTGCTTGATCAGCCTCAGCAGGTTAGCTGCCGCGGCGCTTGCCTCGTTAGCCGGCTCCATTTGCACGAAATTCACACGTTTTTTTCACAGGAATACTGACAATTTATATTACAACAATTTCAAAAAGCTTTGACCGGCGGCAGTGGCATTCGACATTGACCCCCTCCCTTTGACTTGATCGGAAAACAGCTGTTCACCGCTTCTATTTCGTAATATAATGGCCGAGAACTGCGAATTGGATGGCGCGAAATGGGGCTTCGGGCTGGGATAACAGGCGTGCGGCTGATGATGAATTACTTACGAAGGGGCAGCAGGAGCTTCTGTAGACGGAATAGTTTCTCTAAACAGCGTACGCTTGCCATTTTAGCGCTTTAAAATTGACCGAACGACTGGAAACACCTGGTAGAAAGCACGCTTTAATACGGCGTTTACGAGCACTGTCGGTCGTTTGGTATTTTTTGCATTTCATGACAGGTTCGGCCCGCAATAATTTGAATGATATTTCTTTGTTTTATATTTTGCTTGTTTAATGACGTCCCCATTCTGCTTTTAAAGCTTGTACCCCAACCCGGGACCGTAATAAGCCACATTTAGTATCCTTAAGGGGAATGATATCCTCGAATTGAGGATGTGTTTGAAATCTCCGGCTGCAATCAATGCAAAAATTAGTCAATTTGGCAGGTTATAGCTTTAGATACAAAGAAAATAAATGAATAGGGAGGAACATGTCATTCTAACCTAAGGTCATTATTAAACTCCAGTACTCAGACGCGCTAAGTTTTCTGAGAACTCAACTGCAACAAACTGGCTTTGAAATTTTCTGTCTAACCAAAAACAGGGATGATTTCTTATCGTTTCCATACGAATATCATCCCTGATTTTTTTGCGACCCCTTTTTTGATCTGAGTACTAGGCTTTACCGTATATTTTTAAAATGAAAAGGTATTTTTCGATATATTTTTGAGGGTAGCTCGGTAAAGTTAATCAATAAATCCGTGGTCACACTGTTAATAGTCTGGCCGGGGGGACTAGTTTTTGTTAAATTTTTAGTGTTTTTTGCAAAGTTCGGCGAATTTGTTGGTAGAGAATTAAGTGACTGCGTTTAAGTGGATCAGCAAGCAACGCGCGCGCTTGCACCCAAAAGTGTTTAGTGCTCCAGCTCCTGGCGGCTTGGAAAAATCCGCGAATGCGGCAAAAGAAAAGTGCAGAGTAAATAGAAATTCGAAAATTTGAATATAGTTGAATTAAAACCCAAACTGAACAGTTAACGTTGGCAGAAAAAGAGTTAAGTGAAACCTGGTTCTGGCTTGGTCTCGGCATCGTGTTCGGGAGTGCCGAGTTTTCCGACCCCGCGAGACGAGGGTGGAAAACGCGTGAAAAGCGTGAAAAGAAAGGAAAACGACAGGCAAGGCGTTGTGCGTGTGTGAGCCTGGGAATAATGTGAATAAATAAAAGGCGCTGCCAGAAGGAGGATACACCCGTCAAACACAAAAACCCCACGGAAGCGCGGAATGTCCGATCAAGCACGGTCTTCGGGGGATCGGGATGAGGAGTAGCTGCTGCAGAATCCAGTTTCTGGCTGCTGTGAGGCAAGGCGTTTTGTCAGGATTGAAATCGAATCGAAGCGAAAACCACCGCCGCCGCCACCAAAAACAACAACATCTACCATAAAAACAACAACAGAAAAAGCGGAGCCAAAAATTTCTTGGCCCTTTCCTTGCATCACTGCACCCGCCGTCGCCGCCGCCACAGCCTGGTTATTCCTGTTTGACTTCATTTTCACTCGTTTCGCTGCCGATTCGGCGCTACTTTCGCCACAAAAGATTTAAACACAATTTTCGGAAGGCAAGATGTCGACGCGCTCGCAATTAACCAAGGACTTGAACGGTGAGTAATTCTCTCTTCGTGCTCTCCCGCTCTCTCTTTCTCTTTATCTCCCCCTCACTCGCTCTCCTTCGAGCGGTGTTTGTGTCGTTTCTTTGTTTTGAGGAAGTGCATCTGCATCCCCTGCGCCGACGACGACGTTTTGTTTTCGGTTTTTACTGTTGTGTTTAGCCCGCTGTCGGCTTCCGTTTGCCTGAATGCAACACCCTGGTTGAGCGACAGGGATGGAGACAGGGACACAGACGGACCGTTCGCACGTTAACATTTCCACCCACCCAATGACAAAAACCCCCCACTCACACATGCAGACTTCTGCCCCCTTGATACAAACAGTTTTCAATGAACTGTGTCGTTCTCCAGTGGCTGTGCAACCTTGCTTTTAATTACTTCTCGTGATATTTTACCCCTTTAGAAAATGAGTTTTACGATGAAGTACAGTATTGTTGATGAACCCCCATATCATGATGTATTATTTCCTGTTTTAATTGAGCTTAATCTTACTCCCCGAGCAGAAGCGGAAAGTATGTGCTCGTAATAAACAAAATTAAAACAGCAAATAATAGTAAATATATAAGCCAAGTAAATTACACTTAGTCAGCCGCCGTTTTCGTTCTATTGTCATTAGACCTTCCTTCCATACATCCATATTGATAACAGTTCAAACACACACACACATACACAAACACGAGTACCCTACCTTAACAGTCCTCTTGGTTACCAATTAAACTTCACGTTCCTACGGAAATCGGTTTACGCTTGGGCAAACGCTGGGGCCAGAACTCCACGGGGCGTGAAACCCAATCTGACAAAAGGCGAATCGCCCACCGTTGGCATGAAGAGCCCCCTCCGTAATGCTCTATGACAGGTGTCTGTCTGGTCCAATATTGCAGGCTCCCCGAAGCCCCCACAACCCCTTCTACACTGGTGCCCAATCGAAGCAAAAACAAGAAAATGCTTGTGCCCCATTTACGCTGTTTTGCGGCTAGAGTGGATCACGTTCGAATATATTTTTGGGGTTGCTGGAAAAGAAGTACTCCTAAAATCAGAATCTCTTCATGAAAAGTAAACCAATTTCTGCATAGAAATGGTTATTTAAGTAGATTATCTAATAATAATTGCTAGTTACTACTGTAACGGTAACTTGTGCGCATAAATATTTATACTACAATCCGGAATCACTGTGCCTGACAAATGTCCCTTTGAATTTTCCTCAAGCTCGTCACCGTTCTGAGTAATTTAAATTGAGTGCAGTGACAGCAGCAGTCGGTCCTCGGTCCTCGGTCCTGTTCCACCAGTTCCATGCTTCATTGTTCCTGTACCCAGATGTACATAGGCGTTGACACGGTTGTTTCTTGTTTGTTTGCTTTACGTGCTGTTTGCCCAGGTGCTCTGCTGGTCTCCTCTATCTGCACCGCCGTCTGCCTATCGCATCAAGATGCTCTCGTCGCTGCTCCCATGTTTACTCCGACTCCAGAAGAATCTTTTCCCTTCCAATTAGCATATTCTTAATAAATAAATGGGGAAACCTTACGCAATAATCTCTATGCTCGTACATAATTTACCAAATTTTGTATTTTCGACGGCTGCTGCAACTGAATTTGAATCGGGGTCCGCTGGTATGTGGCGGCACACCCGCCACCGCCTTTGCTTCAAATTGTGCATTGACAATTTTATTTATGATTGTGTCGCGACTTTCGTTCCAGTTGGCTTCCAAAATAAACTTCTTTCTGTTCCGCGTCGGTGTGTGTTGGTATTTGTTTGGCCTGGGGAATGGGAGACAGTGGTGCTGCTCCCGAAACTCAATTGGGCGTTATATAATGGTCGCCAGAACGATCAGCTGTCTGAATTATTCTGTTATTATATTTCGGCCTCACTGAATTCGTTGTTTGCACAATTTAAGGCTGTTGGGACACCTGTCGCCGTCATTAATCAGCCTGAAAATCGTTCCATCTCTCAAGTAAATGACAATGCCCTGATAGTAGGGGACGCCCACATTTATAATCATATTGGAAATATTAGATAAGACAGCAATATAAATTGATACCATAAAAAGATTGCGATTGAGTGCAAGGTAATTAGACATTTTCGCTTCCTTTAAGATCCTTTGTCGATAATCAGCACTGCTTCGCAATGCAGTTATAAATATTGTGAAAAAACACCGTTTTATTATTTCCCTGTACATACATTCATACATATGTATGCCTGCCTATCACTGACTTCTATTATCCGAGGAACACTGTAGCGTACCTCACTGTGCTCAATTCTTTCTTTCTCTGTGTCGCTGCTGATAAGCCAAGGCGGCACTGATAAGGCGATCGCATTTATCACGGCTCTCAGTTCTTATTTTGACGCGTTTTGTGCCTGGCCTGCCTCTCGGAACTAGTGCGCGCTGCCTATTGGCCCGCAAATCCGTTAATAACGCGTCCCCGGTCTTCGGGCACACTCGCTTACGAGGCTTTCTGTCGGTCTGTTTGTGTACCTGCACCGTTATTACGAATATTACGTGGATGGGGGCCATGTACACCAACGAGATGATGAATCACATCGATCAGTATCTGCGGCGCATTATGGAGCTGCAGATACGCGACGTGGTGAAGAAGCAGCGCGACGAAGGTGAGCGCCGTCTCCATTTGTTTACCGTAATTTGAATGCGTCATTTGCTGCGCGGCTGCATGACGTGCTGAGCATGCACATTCCCGCTCTGTTGCTCTCTTTTGTTTTGTTCTGTTCTATTCCGTTCCATTCCGCCTTGGAACCGATCAATTGATTCTGTCAATCGGTCAGGTTCGGCTACGCCGCCAATTTGGCACTTCATAAAAGTTTGGCCAAGCACCAGCGCCGAACCCAACCCCACTTCTCTGACCACACCTTGTACTAAAACGGAAATTGACTTGTTGAAAGTTTATTGATGGTTCCTTGTCTTCGCTGTTGTTGCTCTGAGGTTGCCAATCTCTTTGTTTATTTGTAGTGTGAGGTCTTCAAAGGCTTATCTGACACGGGGTTGTACGCACACCCATTGTTGCAATCGAATATACACAAAGTGGATGTGCAATAAGTCAAATAAACAAAGTGATTGGGAAAAACAGTACGTTCAGAAGGATTTTATAAACAAAGGAGGAGCCAAGCCAAAGCCGGAGAGAATTTCTGTGAAATTTAACATTTTGGGGTAGAGAAACAGCTTACATAACCGTAAAAAAATGCATCGTTCCACTGCCCCAGTTCTAATAGAGTTCACATGAGCGAAGTCTCCCTGTAGTTGTTCTCGTTCGACCTCCGCCTCCGCTGCTTATTTGTTTCTGGCGTGCCCCGCCTCTCCGCCAAAGATGTGTGTGAGAAAATTCCCAGCCAAAATCGAAATTAAATGCAAAGCAGTTCACAAATTTATACAAATCTCAATAGACGGGTGAAGGGGGGGTATGAGATGAGCTGCTGCTTGCCGAAGGCCAACGCATAAACAAAGGCAGTTGAGGATTGCCCCAATTGGGGTTGCGAGAGCCTGACCCCGGGCTGACCTACATAGTAGCTCTCGATGATACTGTCCGCTCAGAAGGGGGATAATTTATGCCGCCAATCAAGTGCCGTGCTTACCATTCATTTGCAATGCAACTAAGTGGTAAATGGCCCGCTATTAGTGCGAATTTTTAATCGCAGGCACCTGCCTCCGTTCCAGCGCCTACTTCAACTCCAGCCAGATGACCCGCTCTCTTGTCTCGGCGCTCTCTCTCTTCCTCTCTACCCTTCCACTCGTTTATACTATCTGTGTTTTACTCTCACTTTCAGCTTGTTCCAATTTCAATGGCGCTGCTCTAGTTATCCTTGTTGCTCATTAGTGATGCACGTTTTCGTAGTTGCAGCGGCACACGCATAATAACGGCACCTGGGCGCGCTCTTAAGCAGACAATTTTCGGTAGATTGGGTAGGTAGAGGCAGAGGAAAGTTGGGGCCGAACTAGTTTGACAGCATCTCAAAAATAAAATACATTGGAGAAAGAAGAAAGAAAGAACACACGCGGCAGCTACAGCCCCGGCAAGCCAAAGCCGAAACACGCTCATATGCTCCATTTCCCAATAGCCAAATGCGAATCTCTCTCTTCCACTCTCCTGCAGCTCTCTTTCTCTATGGCGTTGGTGAAATTGTGTCACCCAACAAGTGACGTTAATAACGCCGCAGCTGAGGCGGCTCGCATCCCTGACCTGGCAGACTATGTCTGCTCCCGCACTCGCTTTTGCCCCTGCTGATGTTGCTGCTCTGTCCCACTTATTTTTTGGGCAAGAGTAAGAGAGGCGGACAACGGACCGAGAGAGTAGGAGAACCTGAACCTGTCGCTTTCTATTACTCTGACACAATGGGCGAGCGCAGGCCGCAACGAAAATTTCGCACTATAAATTGAGTTTTGAGGTCAAGCGAATTACACTCGCCAAGTGCCCCGCCCGCAATAAGAGTCATACACATGTATGTACATCCATACATATATGGAAGGCAGAAGGTGTTGTATACGCACAATTTGTTAAACAATTCGATCAACAGCTGTAAATGACTCACGAAATGTCATCAGAGTCTCCAGTGATGTCCAGCTCTTTGTTTTCTCAATAGAGGTGAACATTGAAAATTCATTTCTCTTACATTTAAGAGTTGGAAATAATTAAGAGTTGGAGACGACATTCATTTCTCCCCCACTGACTACCACCATGACACTCTTTTTCTCCCATCCATTCTTTCGACTGTCTCCGCCTGGTCTGCCTTATGGCACAAATATAATTAACAAAACGTAAAGTAATCACAAACTTGCGCAAAGAAAAACGAAAATCAAAATCTTCGTTTAACTTTCTTTTGTGCTGCGCTTGATGGAAACGCCGGCAGGGGAAGAAGATACAGAAGCCGAGGCCTTGGCCATTGTTATATCGTACTGTGACTTTTTTTTCGCAAACACTTAAAAGCGATTGCCGTTAGCCGAGTTTGTTGGTGTGTGCGCGAATGATTCACTCGAATATGTAAGCTCATCTCGGTCTGTCTTGCACTGAGCTAAACTGCAAAGCCTCTCCTTGATAATTGCAAGAACAGAGTTCAGTTTGAAGAGCTGAAGTTTTTATGGAAAGAAAGAATTGAAGAACATTTAAATTTGGAAGAGAACTCCAATGATTTCTGCCAGATTTATTTTTGTTTAGCGTGTTTTAATTTTCGTTGTTTCAACAAAACTTTTTCCAGTGTAAGCATCGTTATCTCTGTGACGGCCCCTGCCCCTTCGCCCATTGACTGACCGAGTCAGAATACTGTGTGCAGTTGCTGTAAAACTGCGAAATAGTTTTCTGACAAGTTTTGACAGCCTTTGTCGGGTTTACAAGCTTCATTTACATACATATGTATACGTACTACTTGAATCAGCGAAAAGCAGGCAGAGACAGTATTACAACTGGTATCGTAAAAACTGCACAGTAGTGTCTGTGCTACACACTTCCAGGGGTGTTAGACTAAGAAATACTGACGGGTGACGCATGCACTATGCACCCGCAAGCTCACGGCACAGTGAAGCACAATTGTTCACCCACTCCCTGCAGAGTGGTTGTAGCAGGGGGGGAGGGACAGGGCGAGGCAGGCAAGCACACTTGTAGTAGGGAGAGTATGAGTACGAGTATTTTGAACTCGTGTAATCTCTGCCATTGTGCCGAGCTTTGCAGCAGCAAAAAGCAGATAAAATTGGGTCACACTCGTTGGGTTCTGTGTCTGAGCCAGCTTAGATGGTTGTCAATGCTGCTGCCTGAAGATTCCGCTACGAAAAAGCCAACACACTGGGCAGAAACTTTTCGGCCAAACTTTATGGAGTGTATCAGTTCTTTGAACCCAATCTGAAACCCATTTATCTGGCTCATAACGTAAATCGAACGAAACAACCGCAAAAATCAATTAAAGCAAAATTTCCTTTTGGCGGAAATGTAGTTGAGATAGCAACAGAGGAGTGGAGGATGGAACACAGAGAATGTCCGGCCCAGACAGGCAATTACAGGTTGCTTGGTCAATGTAATTGGCATCTGGCAGTGTAGTTTCAGGTGTATATCCATCTATACAGACCTACGCCCTCAGAAAAGTTCAATTTTTGCTCTTGTTTCCATCGCTCTCAACGTTTGATAACCTCTCCGCTTCTGGTTTGTCAGCAGAAGTCGTAATTGTAGTTAATATCTCCACTGCGGGTCTTTCAGAACCATCATTCCGTTTGACGTTTTCAATATAAATAGCGAAATCCCACTCGAAGTTGGATATAGCAAATGCTTTTGTAACTGGCTATTAACGTTCCGTGACAAATCTGTGAATTCTGGGAATTTGAGGATACGCTATTGGTGAACCGCGCCCTTATGACAGAGTATCAGGGGAAGGACTTTGGAATGATTAGCAAACAATGGAGCAGCAAAGTAGTGGAAAGTTTTCGAAGCGTGTGTAAACTTCGGTAACTTCCGTTCTGTGTCATTTATTTGTTGATGTACAAGTTTTTCCATTGCTTCTGCTCTGCATTACATCGCTGCTGCTGAGCTCTCTTCCGTGTACGATATTGACATAGTGCCTCTCAATGTACGAACAAGTTCAGAAAAGGGAGTGGGGGATGGAGAGAGTGCCCAAGTTCATTCACATTTCGACGCGCTCCGTCTGCAATTAAGAGAGAATCAGTCAACTGTGCTTCACTACTGTTCCTATTTCAGTCGCTCGATGATTATCACGCTACAGTCTGGTGTCTTCCAGTGGGGTGTGGAGACCACACTCCACTGTGTGCGTGCCGAAACGTCTTAACAATCTATTTTGGCCATAACGCACAATTGGCACTCATTATCATAGTCACGCCGTCCTCCCATGGGCACGGACCATGGGCCATAAAGACAAAATGCCTTAATATTTATTTTGGCCACCACTTTGTGGCCGGGCCTAGCATTGAGTGTGGTCAGGATCGGAAATTGCCCTGCCGCAGCTCTTTTTATGGCCCACCCGTCGTCATGCAAATCCATTGTCAAGCACTCCCCCCATTGCCTGTTTATGCTCGTAGTATGTATTTTGCTTTTCACTTTCCACTGCCAACACTGAAAGAGAGAGTGGGGGATTACGGTAATTGCTTGATACTGATTCTTCTGCTCTTCTAGTTCAGTTTCGTGAAGAGAGTTGTTTCAAAGCTAAAGGGAGAGAGAGACACATATCTCTTTTCTTTTCTTTTGTAGTTTCTATGTGGTGGGTTGAGAGGGAGCGGCACTTATGCTATGCCGGCAGTCAGAATTTTTGACATTTCAATTCCATTTCTCCTCCCTTGCGTGCGGCATAGCCAGACAAGGAGTCATAACTCTCAGCTGCAGGCCCCAGAGAAAAGAGACGCAAAGGCTTTTGAATCGCGGCCTGCCCGTATCGTGACATAATATGTACATATGTATGAATGCTCACCTCCCCCTTGCACATGAGCATACTGCTCTCCCTATCACACTCTGAATAATTCGTCATCGCTCAAGCGTGTGTGTTTTTGCCTGTGCAGTGAAAGAGAGTACATACATACATACGTGTGAGAGTATGCTAAGTAGCTGGCGGCGGCATAAACACGACATTGGAGCAAGTGAGAAGGATTGGCACGACACAAGGCGCTCCCTGGCCCCTATCCCGCACTCATGGTCCCTGGGGGATTGTACGTGTTTCGTTTGAAAACCTTTGAATCAATTCGATATACGGGCAATGATATAATTCCCGATTTTAGCATGCATAACGACAAAGCGCGACAGATGCACATACATCTGTACATATGACAATACATACATATGTGCACAGTTGTACATACATATGTACATACACACTGATATCGTCGTAATAATATTTTAAGTTTTTATTGTGAGACGCAGTTTCACAGCGGACCTCCGATGTGACTGGCGACATCACCTAATTGCATTTCCGCTTGCCTCCAAGATGATCTTTATTTCGTTTCTCATTTGCCCTCTCTGTCTCTCTCTATGTCTTTGCAGAAAGCGTCAAATCGATTCTGGGGCGCCACACAAAGATACTCGTCAAGTATATGGTCAAATTGGAAACGAAAGGCGATAAGACGGAGAATCGTGTTTTGGTAAGTGAATCTCCCATACCCATGCAACAAGCTGCAGGTGCTAATGCGGCTGCTGGTGGCGACATGCCGCAGACGCTGCCTGTCAGCTGAGGAGCAGCAACATCTCTGCGGGCAGTCAGTGGTCCAATTTGTGCATGGAAATTGCATTTTGCAGCCAAATTGCCAGCAAATTAAATGAATAGTCGAGTGTACTGAGCACCCAGGCATGGCCTGAAGTGTTTGTGGAAGTAATGGAAGGAGCACGGTGATAAACTTTATCGCAAACTCAGCTTTAAATTGAGAGAACTTTAAGAAAATACTCCACCAAAAGCAAACATTTTTATTTTGCAGGTGTATCAGGTGATAAGGCAGTTAGATAGGATGTACATATTAATAGTCGAAATTGTGGAAACTTCAACCATCAAGGCCATTTAATTACTTTTATCACAAAATTCTATGAATTGAATCAAAGTACAGAGAGAGTAAATGAGGAACGAGTTAATTATAGGGAACTATAGAATAAGGTCAAGAAAGTCAATGCATTCCGTTCGCTTATTGAAACGAAACTGGTTAAAAGAGTTGGGGTATTGAAGATACACTCAGTTCAATGAAATTAAAACAATTAAAAGCGTTATCTAAAACGAAGTTTCCTTCAATGGTTTCACACAGCATTTGAATGAACTCTTACAGTTCTGTCACCTCCTTCGTGGCTACCAATCCGTAAAATTAATTAAAGAAACTCTCGGGAGAGACAAAGGAAAGACATAATTCTCAAGTTAAGACAAAGAACGCTTTCGACTGGAGGCGAAAGTTTTCCACCTGCCTGTAATTGATATTTTATAGCATACTTAGAGGCGACATGCCCCTTGCCCCTTGAGGGCCAAGCTATGCTAATTTCTTGGATGGCCGGGCCATGCCATGCCGACACTCTCCACTGGCAAAACTTGTACGGCCGCTTTAGGAGCTCACACAGCCGGAAAATTGATTTGTGCAAGCCGCTTACCCGTATACTTACAACGTTTTCGCCTAAGGTGGCTGAGACAAAGTGTCCAATTACCAAAGTCGACTAGAGCTCTGTTTCTCCCCACTCCTCTCTCAGTTTAGCTATTGCTATTGCTACTGCCGCTTTATTGCCTTTGCATTTGAGTGGTTAAACGAATTATTTGGCGCACTTTGATTTCCAATTGGAAGGCAACGAACTTTTCCATCAATGGAGAACAGTGACTGGGACAAAGGCCGCCAAGAAAGTTGACTTTGCCATGAGAAGAATTCACCGCGAGAGCGAAAGAGTGTACAAGCTGAAAGGTTTCTTTGAGTGTAGATTCCCGTGCTAATTAAGTTACACTTCACTAACTGATTGAGAGGGCCGTCAGCACTCTCCCCTAATGGAGTTGCAGTTTAGAGTGCCTTTTCAATTCCAATTAAAACGCTCTAATGGTTCCCCTATTCACATACTCCTTCCCTTTTCGTCCCTTGCAGGTCTTTACACCCGTGCGGGTTTACCTGCTCAATGCCAAAGTGCCAACAAAGGTGAGTGAGACGAGTGCATTTAATGCATATTTGTAATCATCTTATGTAATGCTTTCATCTCGAATCATTTGCAGATCGAATGCCATTTCCACTATCTGGACATTGTGGGTGTCGAGAGCAAGAAGTCCACCCACTTTTCCATTGTGACCAACGATCGGCCATACTCGTTTGCCACCACCGGCGATGCGGGCAATTTCAGTTCGGTTCGTAGCACGCCCTCCCTTCAATTAATATTACTATAATTAACTCGATTCTATATTTGTGCTCATTCTGCAGAACGCTGATGTCATTCTAACCGATTTGGCCTCAGCCATCAAGCAGATATTTCCAACAGTTCCTCTAAAATACATCATACGCAAGGCAAGTATCCATCCAATCCATGAAAACATTCGATTGTGGAATGATCTTGATGAAAACCTTCTCCCGTAATGAAGTTTTGCCGAAAGTTCGCTTCCCTTTTACCCTTCGATGACAATGCACTGACTCACGTCTGGCTTTAATTAATGTTTAATTAAATATTTAGTGAACAATTGTGTGTATCTGGTGTGGTGTCTCACCCACAGGCATGAGTGCGTTCCATCTGGTCTGCTTCTCCTTTGCACTGCTCCCCTCCGTCCAATTAGCGGCTTAAATGCATAAACGTTGTCATCTGGCGCAGTCGGGGTTAATAATTCAATGCATTTATAATGCTCCTACTGCTGGCACACGAGTTTGTTGTAAACTATGCTGGCTATACGTTTATGCAAATCGGCTAGATCCGCCCACCACAGGCCACAGGCACTCGGAGAGGCACCCACGCCAGATTTGAGAAAGAATACTCTGCCTTGTGGAGAGCATTATCATTTTGCAAAATAGGTTTCAGCCTTCTGAAACCTCACCCCTTGAAGCCCGAGCCTCTTTTGTTTTCCATTGTCGAGTGGGTAAAAAGTCAGCCAGCAATTGAAGCAACATGTTTGGATAATGGCCACATGACACGCGAGCTGTTGACGCCTCAAAATCTAGGCATCAAAATTCACATTAAGCAAAAGTGTTAAATGCAAGATTAAGCATACGCCGGGCAGGCGGACGGGGCAGGCAGTCCGCCAAAGTGGAGTCCGTGTCTGAGCTTGAGGAGTCATGGAACTGTGAATTGTTCTCCAAGTTGGTCAACTTGCAGCAAAACCATGTCGGACACTTGAAGCTTCTTAAAACTTGATAAAGTTTAGAACAAGTTTTCTTTGGCAGGTCTCTGAACTTTTCTCCCACTTCTCGTTTTCTTTTTAGATCGATATACAGCCACCGGAACGGGAGACAATCTTCTCCGAGGAATTTCGACCCTCCGATCCGCGTAATGTGGGACCCTGCGGTGGCTTCAGTGCCCAGTACGCGTGCATGTGCGACTTCCATGGGGTGCCATACCGCGAGGAGGTGGCCTGGGATGTGGACACCATCTATCTGTCCCACGACACACGAGTTCTCAACCTGCGCGACTTTGACCACTTGGAACCAAAGTAAGTTAGCTGCTAATGAGGTTTCAAATTGTGTTTTTGCTTTGACGCTCTTCTTCTCTCTACAGAGACTTGATGGCCATCGTTTCGGCGCTGGAGTACAATACGTTTTTTCGTGGCCTAAAGGCCGCTCACATGCGTCTCTCCCACGAAACCCTGGAACGCATCCTGCACGTGCTCAAGCGCTCGATGTGGCTGGAGGAGCTGCATCTGGAGGCTTTAGGCTTAAGGTGAGTTGTCCACAGCATTCCCAGTAATCTGAGTGACACTGATGGAACATTTCGCTCTTTTCAGATGGGATTTCCTGAACAAGTTATCTATATCTGTGATAACGAATAGCAATCCCGCCATTCGCACCATCGATCTTAGCCACAATATAATTGAGGACAAAGGTGTGTGTCCCCCAGGCCATGGAGCCAACTCCCCCTTTGCCCATACTACGCCCTGCCCTGCTCTCGACAGTCGATTGTCGACTCGTAATCCAATTAATCCAATTCTTGTCTACCCATCTGTTTTCTTTGTGTGTTTCTCCTGTCGATTGTCGTCGATTTTTGTTGTTTTGTTTTTATGGATTTGTGTGACATTTTTGTTCGTGTAGGTGCAAGCTCGTTGTGCGCCCTACTTGGAAAGATTGTACAAGGTTTGCAGCCACTAATAGAAACATCATTTATCATTTATCTCTAAATATAAATATAATACATATTCCATGCCATGCCATTCTTGTTGTTGCTGTTGTTAGCGCTCTTGTTACATATTCCTCCCGAATCCTCCCACCCGCTCCGCTCCCAAATACCCCCCACAAATTGACACAAAAGTTAGCACTCAGTCAGACCTTATTTCATACTCTTCTTCATGCATTTGCTATGCTCTCTCAACATATTCTGGTCTACAAATTAGTGAACAAATTCCCCAATTGGATTCACACCCTCCACAGATCATGCTTCATTCATGTCAATATCTCTCGTTGTTTTATGTTGTTTTATGTTCCGTTCTAATGACCATTTGCTAAACCTTTTACGCTTCTTTGTTGCTGTTTAGGTGCCATACATCTGGCCGGGCCCATAGCCAAGGTGTCAAAGGGTCTGTGCAAGCTGGCCCTGGCCCACTGCGGCCTAACCTCGAAAGGCGTCAACCAGATGTCGCACTCACTGACGCTCAATCAAAGTATTTCGAACTCGCTCACGTATCTAGACCTAAGTGGTAATAGTCTCAAAGATGATCTAACCGTAAGTACACCCAGAACTGCAGAGACACGAAGCGACTCAACTAAATCTAACTTTTTCTCTTAGAATCTGCACAATTTTCTGGCCCAACCGAATGTGCTGGAGCACCTGGATCTGGCCTCTACAGACATCATGCTGGAGAATGTATGTGAATTGTATTAAGGAAATAATCTTTAATTCAACATCTACTCTCTCTAGCTGTTTGGAGCTCTGCTGCGCGGCTGTGCCACGCATTTGGCCCACCTGAATGTCTCCCACAACTCGTTCAGCACGAAGAAGGGCAAGGAGATACCGCCCTCGTTCAAGCAGTTCTTCACCAGCACTTTGAGCCTCAAGCATCTGAACATCGCCGGCTGCAAGCTGCCCATGGAGGCGCTCAAGAACCTGCTGCTCGGCCTGGCCTGCAACGAGTCAACGGCGGGCCTCTATCTGGACCTCAGCAGCAATACGCTGGGCACCCAAGGCGCCCACGTTCTCGAGTCCTGCATACACGGCGTGCGTGTGCTCCAGAGTCTGGACATCAGTGACAACAGTGAGTGGGGAGCCAAGCCAGAGCATATATTTTTCACACAATGCCTCGCATAAATTAACACTGAATCCCCTTGCAGATCTGGATGCAGAGCTCGCGCCTGTGCTCACGGCCATCTCGAAGAATCCCTCGATACGAACGCTGCACCTGTGCCGCAGTCTGACGGGCATGAAGCCGAAGCACATACCCCCTGTGATGGATGCCCTGGTGAACCTCATCCAGAAGGACGACTTCCCGCTGGCAGAGCTGGTGTTGTCAGAGAACAAGCTGAAGCACGATCTGCACGACTTTATCAACGCCCTCGGCAGCAACCAGAGTCTCCAGAAGCTGGACATTAGCGGCAACTTCATGGGCGACGTGGGCGCTCGGCTCCTGGCCAAGGCGCTGCAGATCAACAACCGCTTGCGCACCATTTACTTGGACAAGAACGGGGTCACGCTGCAGGGGTACGCAGACATTGTGTACGCGCTGGAGCACAACCACAGCATGCGCACCATCCCCTTTCCGGTGTTCGATATTGCGCCGCACCTGAAGAACCATCCGGACAAGACGGACGCCGTCATGCGCAAGATGCAGGAGCTGCTGCAGCGCAACTGCAACGGTCTGCAGCGGACCAATGGCCAGGGCTTTCGGCTGCAGCACGGCTTCATGCTCTCATCCACACACCAGCTGGTGGACAAGCTTGTGGCCGAGACGCAGGACACCATCTCTATAGCCAAGGGCGGTGGCGGCGACTCGGCAGCCTCTGCGGTCCAGCGACTGATCACCGACGCCGAGAACTGCAAGCAGCTGATGCCCAAGCTACAGGAGGCCGTACGCAGCGATGCCCATCCCATCGAGATGAAGCTGACGCGCGTGGCCAGCGAGCTGGGCTACACCATCAAGAGCTACCTCGAGGAGACCCTGGAGACCATGATACGCACCGGCATAGAGCAGTGTCCCAAAACCCTGGGCAACCAGATAGTGATCCAAGATCTCCGCAAGGCGCTCGCCGAGCGACTGGTAGTTCCCGAAGACTTTCTACAGACCTGCCTCCTCAACAATGCCGGCAGCGAGATAATGAACAAAGTTGGGTGAGTGGTATAAAGAAAGTTTATATTTAAGCTAAGGTGCATATTTAAATAAACTTAAAAGTAAGCGGATCCATAGAGCATCATCTTTGTTTATATACAATGCTTATGGCTATCTCTTATACATACATATGTATGTACTCACACACTGGAGAATTAGCAAGAAAAAGATTCGAAGGTCAAATGAAATGGGGTTTTAGCGATAACTGAGAGAAACAAGGAGAGCAAACGGATTGTTGATATAGAAAATATTTAGTAAACTTGTATAATTGCATTTAAATTTGTATTTAAAGTTGGTAAACATTGTATCAAGATTAAGATAATAGCAGTGGCATTTTATTTCGTAAATATTAACACAGTTATTAGTCATGATTCAAAGTGTTAGATACACTTGCAGCTGCATAGTTCACTTACATTTTTAACATTATTCTAGGACGTATTTTTACTAATTTACTGAAAACGCAGGGTTCTGATACTTACAGGAACTACTTATATTATTTCCTTAGATATTTAATATAATTTATTTGCATTGCAAATCCTAAGCCCAAATGTCAGAGATACCCACTGGAAGAGTGTGGAGAGCCAAGCAAACAAACATATTCGTTTTTGCATATTTAAAATTGCGCTTCGAGTGGCGGTCTCTCTTGACACACTGCTTTGCTCTCCCACACTCGCAGATAAGCCTCTCCGCAGCTTGTTTCCGTACTCTCAGTGGAATGTGGGAGAGCACAACAAGTGTGCATGTCTGTGTGTGTGAGAGTGGTAGAAATAGAGAGCAGAGCATACTCCCCGATAAGATTAAACAAACCCATAAACGAAATAACGAAACAGCTGAATGCAGCTCCACTCTACGAAACTGGGATATATCGGACTCAAACGCATCTGTGGCCGAGAGCTAGGCACGCCGTGTGGCTTCAGCATATAGGGAAACATACACATTAATTTCTTAAAAAACATATGTTCCGAGCGACTTTGTGAGCGCCTCCATAACTTCCGAGGAGAATTCAGTGCGAATCGGTTGGCTGTCGACGTGCGACAGCTGTTGAGCTGCGACCCCCAACACAGCAGAGAGATGGGCCTGATGCGCACTTTGTGCTGCTGCTTTGGTGGCTCGTCCTCCAAGGCGCAGGGCAGGAGTAGTCCAGTCTACAGAGTGTGTCCCAATGAGGAGGAACCTTTGGAAGCTTCGCCTCTGCCTTTGCCCCCGGCTCCAGAGCCAGCTGGCCAGAAGTAGCCCTGCCTCCCCTGCACCCATGCGACTCCATTGACTAATTTGTGCTTTTCCATTTTTTACAGTGAGATTGAGCAGACGCTGGCAGCCGCCATCTCGGACCGGGCAACGGATGAGGTGCTGGAGGCATTGACCCGCTATCGCCGTGGCATGGGCATCTCCGAGTCGCCGTCGGTGCTGCTGGATGAACCCCAGACGCCGGACATTGTACGCAGTCGCTCCAGTCATGTAAGTTTGCTTCTCTCACCTCACCCTCACTCTCAATCGATATGCATCGAACTACCTATGGGTCTATCGAGGAGGCAGCTCCCTTATCAGCCGCGGGGTAAAGCTGGCTCATGTCACATGTGATGTCATGGCCCCTAAGGCCTCCGGAGAGAGGTTCACATTTGACAAAAGTGGAGCACCTCGCCAGCGACTGAGCCAGTTGGCCGCCGACTCTCCTTATCAGCATTCGATTAAATATTGGGCCAGTTTTGGGGAGTTGCCGAATCGAGAAACTATTTGGAGTGGACCCCAACAATAAAAGTGAGAACTACCCCAACCTCTAACTCTTGCAGGATGCAGACGGGCTGATCATACGCCCGGGCGGACGCGGCTCGATACTGCCCAAGCTGGGCCTGGAATCGCCCACTGTAAGTGTTGAAAATCTGTCGCTACCCAAGTGGATGCAATAGACTACTCCAAACAAAACAAAAAATATACAAAAAGATCCAAAAAATCAATTAGATCATAGAAATACGTCGAAGATTGTAAGCGAATAGTGTAGAGTGCTAAATGCTGAGAAGAAGTCGCACCCTCATAGATATACACACCCTTACATATACCCACACATACATATATATATAAATGCATACATATGTACATAAATTCATGTGTAAAATGAACTCATATTCCATAGCCAAATAGCCACAAAACGTAGATGGAACACAAACGATCGCAAATGAAAGAAATTTATCGAAATAAGAAATGCATCACATTGTGGAATACATATACATATATACATCCTACTGCATAATCGTACTCGTCATAGAATCATCGAATCTCATTAATAAATTATGTACTAAATGTGTATTCAAAATGCTCATGCTCATTATTTTTCTCATGTCTTCCTGCCCCTCGACAACCCAATCAACACCAACTCATCAAATCAAATCAACCAAAACCAAAATCAATGTACAAAAAACGCAACTACTCGTATTCGTACTATACAATATAAACTACTATATTTAAACCTTGTCTCCAACTCATTTACATAATTGCATTTCTAAATCAAACAAACACAAAAGAAATTGGAATATCTCAACCTTGTAAGTAGTATTTGTCATATCTCTCTCTCTCTCTCTCTGTTTATTTCTGTCTCTGTGTTACTCTGGAGTTGGTTAGATGAATCAATCAGCTTACTCTGGGACTGCCAGCGCATCATGGGATGATCATCCTTGATCCGCCGACAGCTGAGAGCCGGCTGTGGGAGCTTACTCAACTCTTTATCCTCCTTATATGCCATCCTCCCCGCTCTGTAGCCTGCTCGTGTCTGTAGTTTATCTATATCTATATGTATCTTTCTCCCCAAATACAAACACATTTCATTATTTCACACACCAACACCAACCACCATAAAGATCCCATAGAACCCCCCCATAACGTTAAGGATTTGCAAACACTTTCAAATGGAGCCCATCTAATGTCATTCATCTGGTTCACAGGCCACTCCCCATCTGCCCACCAAGCGGCGCAGCGTTGCGCGAAAAGTTCGTCCCCAGTCGGTCGTGGAGAATCTCAGCCTGAGCCACATTCCCGATCTGTTGGAGTCGCCCTCCTCGCATCGCTCCAACTCCCAGCTGTCGACCCGCGGTGCAGCAGCCGGGGCCGCTGCTTTGGCCGCTGCCAGCAACATGACGGACAGCATCGCGGCCATGGACGATGGCGGCGTCGACGAGTGCTGCGACTCCATCACCGAGCTGCCCAGCGCCTCGTTCCAGCTGCAGCATCTGGTCAAGGGACGCCCCAAGCGGGCCAAGACGCGCGCGCCGACCCGTCCGTTGGTCAGCGCTGAGTGCGCCGGGGGCGGCAGGGAGATTGGCGAGGGACTGGAGCATTTCTTTCGCCCGGGATCGGTGACACCCACCACACTGACGCCCCTCGTCTCGCCCACGTCGGAGGAGTGCAGCTCGCTGTCGTTCGTGGACAGCCCTACCATGAGCCGCGATGGCAACGGACACATGACCTCCGAGGAGACTACACCCATCCTGGAGGAGCGCCGACCAATTAAATTAGAGCGCCAGTCGCCCCTCCTCAAGAGTAAGTGAATACTGGATAATATAGTTGACAATTTTTTGATGACGCCTTTCCCGCAGGTGCCTCCTGGGCCACACGATCGCGCTCCACGGATAATCTTGAGAAGTATTCGCCTCTGGTGGGACGTAAATCGCCGCTGGTCAAGATGCGCACTGAGGGTGGGCCTGGCTCGGGCGCTGCCATGGAAGAAGTGGCCACATCCGGACTGCTCAAAGCGGGCAACCGCGACGACAAGATGCGCTCGCCCAGCAGCGATTCGATCAAGAGCCACGCCACCAGCGGCGAGGGCAGCGTGATAGTGAAGACGGGCAACGGAATCCTGCGCACACCCATTGTGCTGCAGAAGCCGCGTCCCTGGTCTGTGGTGGGCAGCGAGCCAAAGTCCAGCAGCGAGCTGGTGACTGGCAACGGAACCGCCGACTCCAACAAAACGACGCCAGACAAGCTGCAAGAAGGTAAGAAGATAACAAATTTGATTGTGGCACTAATAAATCGTTCCTGTTCAGATGTTGAGGTGCTAACCTTTGGACAGAGCACCGGCGGATCAATAGTGGGCATCACACCGGGCATAGCCATAGCAGGTGGCGGCAGTGGCGGCGGCAGCATTGTGGGCATCACACCAGGTGAGCGCGGGACACTGTTGCAATAAGGAAAGAAGGGAAATGTTATATGTAATCCATTTGTTATTGCAGGAGCTGCCCTCGAGAAAAAGTCTGTGCGCGAGCTGGCCGCAGGTCTCAGTCGATTGGGTAAGTGGAGTGCCCCATCCAGTGCATGAGACGATATATTGAATGCCTGCCCAGCACTTTGTAGATCTCCCTCCATGCGTAGATGTAGATTTATGCAAGTTTAAACGATTTTTGTTTTGTATCTTATTTATTTTCATATTTTGATTGATTTGTTGTACTCGTTAACTGTAAAGAACTCCCCCTGAAACCGCCCGTTATGCCCAGAACCCTCATGAACGCAGCAGGTGGTCGCACAAGCAACACATCGTCCACCTCGTCATTGTCATCCACCGCCAGCGGCGGTGCAACCACAACGACGACAACAACGACGACAGTATTAAACACACAGAACCAGGCGCGCTCTAGGATTGTGAGCACCACGAGCAGCAACAGCGAGAGCCAGGAGACGCTGAGCAAGACCACCATCACAGAGCACGGCAGCAGCAGTCTCTCCAGCAGTCACTCCAGCCACACCGAGAAGAAGCACGCCATGGCCTGCGCCAGCCTCATCAGCAACGAGATACTGAGCATGCGCAACGGCCAGCTGAGCGGCAAGTCGGCTGTCAGCTGTGCGGAGAGCGGCGGCGTCAAGCGCATCGCTGGCAAGGAGATCTCTACGCTATTCGAGGTTTGAAGAACGCGGAACCGCAACAGCTGCTGCTTCAATCATGACTCATGAATCGACGTTCGAAATTTGGGTGGTCTCGTTGTTTCGGTAGCTCATCCTGTGCGTCCAACATTTGTTGTCTAGAGCGTGTAGTCCTTAGTTTGCATGTCACTAGCACTCATCTTGCATCTGTATGTTGCCTGTTGTCATAGTAATTGTTAAGCTAAGAAATACGAAAATAATGCTGACTCGTTTCACATTCGCCTCGCCCATCTGAACAGGAGACATTAGCTGAAGACCTGCAGCGCAACATCTCGACTCGACGCCTGTTTAGAGAGCCTACGCCCTATACCAAGGAGGATGTCGTTGATTTATAAGTGTTCTAGTTATATGCTCAACATTCCTTTAGATCGTCCCTAGGCCCACCCGCAACCCCTGACCCATCCAAGAACCCTGCCACAGTTTCGATCGATCTATCGATTAGATGAGATGATGATATGTTTAAGATGAGGATATGCAGAGACGCAAACGAGGTTGCAACTTATTCGTACTGAACCATTAATTTATGTGCAATGGCGCGTGTGTTTTGTTTTCCTTTGGCAATTTTGTGGAATGAACGTGATTTATTTATTGATATACATATATACATATAACCTACATTTTATCCAAATTAACCTTTTGCATATTTATAAAGATGTTTTTGTGTACTATATTTTATATTTTATGTATTTTAAATGATTTAAGTGCCAATTATATACAGAACTAAACGAAATTTACTTTTAGCTCGTGCTATCAAACAATTTCAATGAAACTAACGAAGGAGAGCGCAATGAATATGATATAGATATGGAGAGATTGATGTATACACTTTATGTAGATCGATTGCGTGCATAAGAACTATTTTAATGGCCTACACCTAAACAAAAATCTAAATGAAATACAATATTTTTTATAACTGCTTCCAAATACAAGTATTTATCGTTTTTCATTTCAAATATTTTTAATTTCTCTTACAACTATACACGTACATATACATACATAAATAGGTACATAGTATTAAAACGACAATCCGTTTCAAATTTTCAAGCGCCGTTTGCGAACAAAGAACGTATGCATTTATTTACTGAGAAACTCTGATTTTTTCTACAAAGTTAACAATTTACGCTAAGAAATTACATGTATGTGAACGATAACAAATTACTCAATGCATTTAAAAGTACAGTAAAAACCTACTACTATATACGCGACACAAAGATGAAGATCAAGATCAAGTAGTTTGCACGAACGACACAGGAAGTTTTATCCAGAGAGTTTGACCCAGTCCACCTCCACCGAACACACACGCACTTCGAGGTTAGAGCGTTGCCCGATATTCCCATAGTTGGCTCCATTGTTTGCCATTCAACTTAGACACAAAAGAAACGAAAATACGAAAAACTTAACGTGTTCATTATGGTTAAGCAATTAAAACTTCATTGTAATCTATTGAAATTCAAATTAAATGGAAAACAACTCAACTTAAGCCTGCGTTTATATTTTAAAGCTCTATTTAATTACTACCTTTTAGATTAGAGATCATCTGTGGCAGCTTGGCCAACGTTACTGGCAAATTACTTTTGATATAAATAAATTATTAAATCAAATGTTTTGCTCGCCACAAAAAAATGAAATCACAGCCACCTTTCGACGAAATAGAAATTTCATTAAATGTTTTGCTCGCCTCAACCAATAGAAGCAGAGCCACCTGTCAACGAAATAGAAATTACATTAAATGTTTTGCTTCCAACAAACAATGGAAGCAGAGCCACCTGTCGACGAAATAGCACACAAAACGAAGTCAGGTGCGGTTATCGCAAAAAAATACCATCCAAACATAATATATATCCACATGAAATATATATCGATATATTCATTTATCATCTCTAACACGCGTCGAATGCGGTGTTTTCTTTTTACTGTAATTTTTTGTTGAAAAACATAAAAGAAAGTAATTTTAAAGTAAAGTATTGTGTATATACACTGCCAAGATGGTAAAGCTTACTCCGGAGTTGATAAACCAGTCCATGCAATACATAAATCCGTGCAGAGAGCGGGAGCTCGATTTGCGCGGCTACAAAATTCCACAGATCGAAAATCTTGGTGCTACTCTGGACCAGTTCGACACCATTGACTTGTCGGACAACGATTTGAGGAAGCTGGACAATCTGCCGCACCTGCCGCGTCTCAAGTGCCTGCTGCTGAACAACAATCGCATCTTGAGGATCAGCGAGGGCCTCGAGTCCGTCGTTCCCAATCTGAGCTCCATCATTCTGACGGGCAATAACTTGCAGGAGCTCAGCGACTTGGAGCCGCTCACAGCGTTCAGCAAGCTGGAAACCATATGCCTTCTCATCAACCCAGTCTCCACAAAGACCCACTATCGCGAGTACATGGCCTACAAGTTTCCGCATCTGCGCCTGCTCGACTTCCGGAAGATAAAGCAGAAAGACAGGCAGGCGGCCCAGGAGTTCTTTCGCACCAAGCAGGGCAAGGACATGCTTAGGGAGGTTACCAAAAAGTCAAAACTGAGCGCCGCCGCAGCACTGGCAGCCGAAGCGAGTAGCGGCAAAGGCAGGGGCTCTGATGGTGGTCGTTTTGCCAACCCAGAGGATATGCAGCGCATCCGCGAGGCCATCAAGCGGGCCAGTTCCCTGGCAGAGGTGGAGCGGCTGTCACAGATTCTACAGAGCGGGCAACTTCCGGAGAAGTTCCAGCACGAAAAAGACCTGGGGCAGAACGGATCATCGCATAATGGCTCGGAGCCCGTGGCCATGGAGTACTAGGATTTCCCATAGCTGTCAGCTACCTTTTAACTGTAGAACAATATTTGTAATAAAAAGCCGCAACAAATTATGTTCCCATTTTTTGCACACTAGATACACATACATACATACACAAATATATATATTGTTTCTGGTTCTCAAGTAGTGCCGCTGGCCGGGATGGATCTTTCACAGAAAAATCTCCGTCTGCCAACAGCCAACAGCCTGCGGCAACCATTCAAATGCACACATGATGGTAATTCACTAAAGTTTAACAATCTACACTGAGTTTAAAAAATGACAAAACGGGTTAGCTTATTTTGGCTTCGCAAATGCATCTGCGGGAATAGTAGTATTGATATTGGACTCGGGAGTTTGTTACTGCTCTGATGCGGCGTCGAATGGCTGGGAAGTGTATTATGAGGACTTTGCAGCCATTATCGTGTCGTAGTGCAGGCCCGTGTAGAAAATTATCCACGTCACCAAGAATCCGGCGAAAGATGTCATAAATCCCTCCTTCACCAATTCCCAAACGCCTCCGTACGCCTCCTCGTCCACGTTCTGAAAGTTTATGGCGTACAGGTAGACAATGCCGCAGCTGATGCCGGCGAAACTGTGGGCAAAAGTTCATGCATTCGATATGAATTTATGCTATTTATAACCCAGCTACTTACAGCACAAGACCCAGGAAGCCTTTGAGCGGCACAATGCCCCAGATGACACCGAGGATAATGCCAAACACCTGTCGCGACCAATATATGACATCTAGGAATTCCTCCTGCAAAAGGCAAAGAGCATGAACAATCAGCCCTGTACGCGTGCTTTGGTTCACAGGTCGGTGCTCCGGTACGGAAGATTCTTACCTTGTCCTCCCATTCGGATTTTGTGATGGCGCGCGCGCATATTTCCTTCAGTGTGGATGACTTAGCGCTGCCGTTTCCATGACGCTCAATGGTATTCGTTTTGGTTGACATTATCAATTTCAGTTATGACCCACTTAAATTATTTGTTAATTAATTTTTTCCATAAAGTGCAGTGTGACCGCGGAATTATCGATAAAATTCGGTCAGACCCTCAAAAATATACCATAAATATACCGTAGTCAAAAATCATATTCCTCGATTTTGATGTTCTATTCGATATTGCTAGCTTTTAAAGACATTTAACACTGAAACAATAATTTAATCCAATCCCTTTTTATTGGATTAAGGTATACAATCCTTATATTTTTCATATTTGTATTTGAATTTTTCGTCGTCTGCCGCGTCGAGGCCGCTTACGTACATACACGCGTATTACAGTGATTCACCCTTAGCTTAGAAACTTTGTAAATTGTATCTTTCCTTCCTCTCCTGAACTCATGGTTTATTTATATTTATTTCTGTTCCATAATTATCAGTTAATTCTAAATTTAAAATAAATAAACAAAAGCTATAAACTATAGTCATAAATTAATAGACTTTATTATATATATTTAGTTGTTCAAACTCCCTTCGCAAAGAAAACAAGCTTTCAAAACTCCCTTTCATGAGCTTTCAGGAGCTTTAATGGTGCGAAATACGTCACAAAAAATGTCTTTTGGATTCTTTTGGAAAAGCAATTCTTTTCCAGGTTCACAATTTTCACAGCCATTTTTATCTCTGAGATTTAGTCTAATATATAAAATATTGGATACATTTGAGTTCGTAAATCTTTTGGTAATGTTATTTTTTTATTCAAGTCACTTCACTCACACGAAACCGTTTGATACGGAGGAAGTACAAGCTCAGACGAATCAATCTATACATGAAAAACATAGCAAACTAGTGGCTAATAGAAATAGCCTTCTATTAATTGAAACTGATCAAAAGAGGTTGAAAGTGATTGAACAAGTTGAGCAGCAACAAAAATTGTTTGTTGTAAAACAATTTAACAACAAAAAATACTTTTAATATTCAAGAACAACTGGATTGATTTGTTTTGTTGTTTCTTCTGTTCTGCCTATAAGTATGCTATATTTTTTGAAGCTTTGCCCCCAAAAGAGACTTCATAAATTATACTGTAATATCAGAGCACCTTTTATTTCGATAAAAGAGACAAGCAAGAGACGCATACGTTCCTCATCCTACAGCTCCATAATGTCGAAAACCGTTTCAGGTTTTTGAAAAATTAAAAAACAAGCATCAAGCTATGCTATAAATAATATCGCTATATATAATATCTGTATTGTTATCATGTTACTGCATGTTGTGTGTAGGGAAAAATGTTTACTGAAAGTTAGGTACAATCGGTGGGGTAGATTAAGTTCGTTGGGAACCCCAAAAAGGTTACGCTGACTGTTGGAGATATTATACAAATAAATATATTAAAGAGCAGACACATTAAAAAGGTAAATACAGTTTTTCGGGTACTTCAATTGTGTGGTTTGGTGGGTAGAAAAAAATCCCCCAGAATTGATATTCGACACTAAAGAGTCCATTTCCAAGGGCAACTTTAAGTAAAAGCGACGTTTTTGGAGTTAATCAGCATATTGATCAGTGTCAATGGAAATAGGTCATTGTAAATGAGCATCGTAGTGAGTAAGAGAGTAATTCTACGAAGTTATGAATGAGAATAAGTCATCGGAGAGTGGGCAAAGTTGGCAGAGCACTGCCCACGTAAAAGAAAATGTTGTTTATTTGCACAGTTGCTATGTGCTTTACCAAGCGCTTCATTGTGATCGGCGGGGGGGGGATTTTTCCAAGACAAAACTATCATTGGCTGCTTCCATGAAGTGGGCGTTTGAATTAAAAATATATAGAGGATCTCCTTTAAAATATTTTGTTTTCTTTAATCAGAATATTCATTCTTGGAATGAAGCACAATCTTTGTTCACTATGCTTTATGCTACGACTATAAATAATTAGCTAATCAATGTAAAATGCATTGCATGTGTGGCCCACTTAATCATATGATGAATATTATTGCTGAATGAACATTAACTAGGTGGCGTATAATAATACTTTAAAATGCTGAATGTTATGTTTGTAGCAGTCGGAAGTTACATACGATAAGACTAATGACTCTACAGTCGGTAGGAACCATTCAGTACGGAGGCAAGAAACAATTACAATATTAGTCTTTGGCCAGGTGGGCGTAGAGAGCTTCCTGTCTACTCTTCGCCTAGGTTCATATGCTCACATTGATGGCATTCTTGATCACAATATTCCCGGCCACGCCATTCACGATCGTGAGGTTGTTGTCGATCTCAATGCCCATGGATGGCGTCGGCTTGGGCGTCTCCTTTGATGTAGGGTTTTTGGGGGTATTTGTCCGCTTGCTGGGCGCCTTCTTGCCGCTGCCTTCGAGATCTAACGATTTCACCACCTTCAAGAGGCCGTTGCAGCCAGTGTAGTCGACGCTCTGCTGCTGGGAATCACTTCCCAAATAGATGCGTCCGTCATTTCCCGTATACTTGAGGGAACCACTATTGCTCTGGATTTTCAATCTGTTGGCATTGCCGATGACCTGTAGATAGCCCGAGTTGCTGACAATCCTTATCCGGTTGCCATTTCCGATGATACGCAGATCCCGGGTATTGTTCTCGATGCGGTACTCCTTGCAGTTGCCCACCAGATCCCTTCTGATGTAGCTGGCACCCTCTGGGGGCGAGGGACTCCTCTTGCCACCGTTGCCAGCTTTGGCCTTACTTGGTGCTTTACTTTTCTCTTTATTGCACGTCGAAAAATCGTCATCGTCATACGAATCACTAGCCGAATCCGCCTCTATCACACGCACGCCCATTTTGGTGTGAATTACCTTAGCTTTTGTCGTTTCTTTCCAATGCTAATCACCCGCAAAAATCACCGCTGCTGTAGTCCGGTCAGCAGTGGCTCATTCTCTCTACTCGTTTGGTTTATCTCTCTCTCCGTGTTGTGCTGTTCAATTCTGGTCGCTCACACTCGCTCTGCGAATATGGACTATGGGATGAGCAATCGTACGGTGGTCCCCGGTTTTGGTCTGTTTAGGTAATAATATCCAATTGTGTTTTGTTGTTGCCAACAGCGAACAGCGAGGCGCGTTGTTAGTGTCAGCTTCCGCAAGGGGAACACCCTTCTGTTTAATATTTGAAGTTCACTTTCACGAAGCAGCTCGTGCCAGATGTTGACTGAATGTTAGCTTGTCGGCTTTTGAACGATATCAGTGCCCGACGACCGCTTTTATACCGGGCCGTTCGTCTCTGACAGTCGTGTCGGGGCTTTTTTATTTTCACCCGGTGGCTGACGCGAATAACACTGAGTGGGCATGAGGAAAACGAATTTTTCGGGGGCTTTGTCTTTTGGGGAGCCCTCTGATAAGCTGATAATAACTATTTAGAGTGATTAATGCCCACCTGCGGACACCTTGGAATGGGTTCCCTCAGCCTATAAGAGCAAAATACAGTTGGATTATTCATATTCTCTGCACTCAGAGGTGGGTGCATAGAAAAAAACACCCATTCCTTAGTAATTTTAACGATCAGTTGATAAAATTCAACCAAAAAACTGTGGGGTTTTTGGACAACACTCCTCTTATCGTTTGTTAAGTCTGTTCATTCAAGTATCGGTCGTATATTTTGCCAGCAACTGTCGCATAATTATAACAGCTGAACAACAAAAGGTAATAACCCTTGATAAGACGATAAAGTTAACCAGAGCGGGAGATTCCAATCTACATATGTACATATGTGTGTATTTTCTATAAGCATAGTTGCCAGGGGAGATCGTTTGTATATCTAAGGCATTCGCTTCCTATTCGCCTGCGATCCAGTTTTGTTATGAACAATAATAATATTCGCACCTGAAATTAATGAACATTTCCAGACAGCGTTTTCAGTTTGCTGCCTTACCCGAAGTATTCTCTGTTTTGTGTGCCAAAAGCTTCCGACTTCGAGTCGGCTCTGCCTGTGCTTACTTGTTTCAAGTTCAGATTAAACATTAAATTTGATTTCAGTCGCTCGGGCAAGCTGGATCGGAGCAGAACTGAAAATGCGTATCAGCCACATGCGAGTTTTAGCATAAACATTTGTGCGAATATTTGTTTGTTTATTGGGGGGGGGGGAACAACCGCAGCGCATATACAAACTTAGCGGCAATCAACCCAAAATGACCTGCATAATAAACGAAAGGGGTTGATCACGATAAATCGAGGGGATTGCGTCAGCTGCTCCTCTTTGTTGGTGCACTTTCACGGGTGCAGTTGTTGTTGACAATTCCATTATCTTTTTAGACATATTATTATATGATTTATTTATTTAGCCGGTTCATCAATTTTAGGGCCGTTAACGGGGACTTTTCTTGAGTTATCTCAGTCACACTCGACAAAAGCCAAAGTCGAAATAAAACAATAATAAAACGAAGCATTATTAAGTACAAATTGCTCAATTCTATATCAGCTGCTACTTACATCACAAAACTATCAGAAATAATAATGAAATGGCTCGACCGAAAGAAAAACCCCCTGCAGCTGCTATCTAGCACGCGTTTAAGTCTGTTGGTAGAGAAGTGCTCGGCTCCCTCCCGGGTGAAACGGATGAAAAAAAACACCAATTCCAAACAATTGTATCTTTTATTTAGATCATCAACACGAACTTTAGGTTGTTTACAGATCCAAAATGAAAACAACATTATTTTGATAAGGTGTGAACATTTCAACAACGGATCCCTCAAAAAGATATATGCATGCATGGGAAAGATTAATTGCTTGAAGATAAATAATCATGCAATTTCCAAAGCACGCCAAAGAATGCACACGACAAACACGACATACAACTGCGAATGTTATTTTGCCATTCAGCTGTCTGCGATAAATATACCATCTCCATTTGACTTTATCGTGAGCTTTTTATTGCGAAATTGTATTTGTAAATAAATACAACACCTTACCAGCTGGGCACAAAGGAAGAAGAAATTATATCAAATCAACCGGGTAAGCATAAAGATCTCTTACGTGAGTTAACACTCATTAATCATTCAAATAACTTTCAGGTAGCAAAATGGAGTCAAAATCAAGTGTATTGGCAATTGGAGACGAGACCAGCGAGCCTACAGAAAGTCCGCCGTGTCTTACGCACAACGAATACACCTTTAAGGAGGAATTTAAGAACCACATACAGAAGTTACTACTACCGGACGCTCCTCAACTGGCAACTAGAGCAGATGACGATAAAATCGAAAAATTTTGTGCAACAGTAATGACGAAAAATGGGAAACAATACTATGAATTCGGTCGAGATGAATCTAGACATGGACATATCATATCTGGACCAACGTTGGACCCCAAAGGGGTTACACTATTAGTAAAGAATCGCTTAAGCAAAGAACACTGGGTAAATGAAACAGTAATAGAGTCTAAAATGCAATGGAGAGAAGTCCAGGAAATAGTTTCGGATTGTCTCGATGAGCAAAACCATAAAATATATCATTATTTGTGTTATTTGCAGGAAAATCGTAAATGATAATATATTGTTTGACTGTTATATTTAAATTGTTTTTTGTTTTTGTTTTTGAATTGAATCGCTACAGCGAAATTGGTTGGTCGCAGACGCTGAGTCCGCATTGACCAGGTACAAATGTTACTAAAAATGCTGAGCTCAAAATAGAGTTGTTTGCCGAACGAACACTAAAATTGTATGTACCTGTATGTTAGTTTAATTGACTTGTACTACTTGCACGGACATCGTATATAAATATTATAAACCAACAATTTTGCATTTCAATTTCAACTCCAATGCGATAAGCTGATAAATATTTGCCTTTCGCACGTAAAGGCAAAAATCATCGTATAGAAAACCCCCATCACTAATATTAAAAGCTTTGCATTTCTTTGGGATGGGAGCTTTTCTTGCGAAATAACTTGTATGATTTCGAGCTGCAACTAAACAATCCGTGCATTTAAGAGGTTGAGTTCCGTTAGTATTACCTTAGTTGCTGCAGAGATATTCACACGGAAAGCATTGTTAAAAAAAATAACAAAAGCCATGGAAGTCGAAACAAACAGTGGTGCTACCTCTAGTTCCACAAACCAAAAAATTGAGTCATCCCAAACTCCAGTGCTGATTATTTCCGAAAGACGTAGAGACACTCCTCGCACTAGGGGTAAAAAGAAGAAGGCTCCTCCTACTGAGGCTGCAGGGCAGCCCAAAATCAGCACTAAAACATTTCCAACGATTCTAAGCAGAATTCTGTTGAAAAGTAACACTCCACCTGTACTGCCACATAACGAAAATTTGTACACGAACCCCTTCACGCAAAATCTGTGTTTCCTGTGCATGGAGAAACCCGCCGAAAGGAAGCGCCTATACCATATGTTCCTATCGACGGATAAGAATCATCGGGAGAACTACGACCGAGTAAATGCCATTTACAGCAATCGAGCGGACATCAAAGTCGTAAACCAAATTTGCGTTGGTGCAATCTGTGCACGGTCTCTGTACCGCAAAGTTCAAAAACACTTTAGCGATGCTGTGTGGAACAAGCAAGGGAATGTGTTCGAAGTGGAAAAGATCGGAGAGAGAACCGTCTCTGCTGTGTCAGATCAAGTAAATAAGTTGCACAATGAGGAATTGGAAAAACTATTTAATTACATAAAGTACTTGAGCATTACAAAGAGCTGAGCAAATACTACCTTTAACTATCTGAATTGTGATATATTTTTTTACATTAAAACTGCTTTAAGCATACTTGTAGTATGTGCAACTTCCTGATTAAAGCAACTTCCTATAACTAATCTTAAACTGTGTGAACCCATAGTGACTCAATAGTTGTTCCAGGATGTATCCGTTTGTTACAAAAAACACTGCGCCCTGCAGTCCAATCCAGTTGAAGCTGTTCCACGTTTTGAACTCCAGCAGATACGCGGGGAGCAGCCACAGCGCCTGGGCCAACAGCCAGAGGACCAACAGGAATATAGATCGGCTCCACGACAGCAGTTTGAAGTTGTTCAGGCACAGGGGCAGGATCGCTAAATACCAGATAAAGTATTGTGAGGTCACCACTGAGTTGTAGGTAACGATTACAAAGGCCACGGTGAAGATGCAAAATGGCAGCGTCTGACGAAACTGGCCAAAGCTCAAGCTTAGGTAGAGAATGAGGCAAAACTGTGGAGCCACCACCAGGAGCTTTGTCAACAACGCAGGTTCCCCTACTGTCGCCGCGCTGCCCAGATATTGAAGCAAGAACTGCAGTGAGAAGTTGTGACGCGAGTCCTTGCGTACAAAGTGGTAGAGATACGCTTCGTAGATGTATTGCCAGCCATAGAGCGAATAGAAAGTCCATGTGAAGGCCACAAGGCTGAGAAGTGTTCCTAGGACTAGGCAGAACTGTTGCTTGTTGGGTCGCAGAATTTGGCCCAGAAAGTCCAAAGGAGTTCGCGTTAGACGTGATGACAAGGACAGGTAGTAGGCCAGACTGAATAGCAACGGGTATAGCCTTAGGTGGATCACCAGTCCGTGCGCTAGTCCAGCGGTAAAGATGAGCCAGTGCTTGTGCGAAGATTTGTGATCCGATCTAATCAGCAGGTAAATGGTCAAGATCACAAAGAAACTCGAAAAGCAGTCGCCGCTCCCGCGTGTAGATATGATAGCCGTCAACGGATTGTAGAGCCAGCAGCATGCGGAGGCTCGAGCTATGTTGTCCGGATGACTGCGTTCGTCCAACGCATCGAGGGACTGGTCTGGTTCCTGGGGCCTGTTGAACTTGCTGAGCAGGTGCTGCACGGTCTTTTGGTACTGACTCTTGATCTCCATGTGCACCAGATGATATATAAGAGTGGCAATGAGTAAATCGAAAGTCGCGTAAATTAGCTTTCCGCATGCCGGGTGTACCAATATGTTTAGTGTCTGCAGATATGCCATTATAGGGCTGTAACGATAGGTGTGCCGCGCAAACGGAGTCTCTCCAGCCAGCACCTGACGAGCTCCATCTGTGACCACTTTGTAGTCAATGTCCGTGTAAGGCACCGCTGACCTACTGTCGTGTATTTGTCCGTAGCAGATCAGAACAAGGCGAAACACTGCGGAGATCAGTAGATGGGTTCGAAAGCTAATCTGCAGGATTTGACGGCCAAATCGCTGCCATCTGGTACTTGGGACTTTCGTGCGTATCATTGTGTTTATTGTTATTCGTTTACAACTTTGTTTTTAGTTCCATTGCGCTCTTTCGAATGCAGCTCAAAAATTCCTTAAACTCGGCGTCGCAGATCTTATGCTGCACGTTCAGGTCGCGCGACACACAAACGGCATATGCTGAGGCCTTGTCGGCACACTTTGTTAGCAGAATTGGGTAGTTGCGGAGACGTTGGTTGGCTTTGCGCACCGATTCCATTCCTTAACGTTTGTGCGCCGGCACACGAAACTCAGTGGGAGGCAAAGGATCTGCTATGAACGCGTCGTAAATTGGCTTGGAGAAGAATATGAGCAGGGAGCTTGTCAGGAAAGTGATCTGGAACAGTCGCGGGTTTCGCTGTATCCAAGAGCGCTTGGGAAGCACGGCTGTACGACGGCGCTGACCAGTTTGCTGCTGTTCCTTTTTGTCCAACAAGTCTTGAATGTCTTTTGGAGGCTTGTACTGCGGCATGGACATTATATTTCACTGTTACCAACGAAAATTAGCGTGACTTACAGCATAAAGTGCACCTTGAACTCACGACTTGCCGGCACCTTTGGATGCTTCTGTTTGGTATGGTTTTTCCAAATCAATTCCACTGCAACAAAGCGAAACCTTATGCCACTTTAGACAACATTGGCGCATAGCCTCGAGAACGTCAGCACATTTATTCTCCTGATAATTGTTTTCTGCAATGCGAATTCTTGATAAGTGGCACAGACTTATATAATAACAAAAGAGCCCATACTCGGTACGCACCATTCAAGCAGGCTTGTATACGGCACGCGTTCGCTTTGCAAGGATCCTTCTTTGTATTCGCAGACATGTAATTATATAGCTATTTTCATCGATTTTAAATGCAAACTAAAATTTATTTTAACACGGCAGTCTCCTTGGATGTGTCAAGTGAAGTTATCGATAACATATACCGTCTGACCATCCGTAAATATACCGAATCGGAAATAATTTTCCTTGATTTTTATATTCTATTCAATATTATCAGCTAGTTAAGATTCTCGGCAGTAAAATTATAGTTTTATCCGATTTATGAATCAATTGTCCACAATATTGGCTAGTTTTCACGATATATTTGCGGTATTTTTTAACATGAGATGGTATATTTTTGAGGGTCATGCGGTATATTTGATCGATTAATCCGCGGTCATACTGCAAGGAACTGTTCTTGTGTGAAAAACACACACACATTTGTTATATTTTGCTAGGACTTACTATATTACTTCACAAGGAGAAATGCCTTCGAAAAAGAAAAAATACAACGCGCGCTTCCCAGCGGTGAGTACGGAGGAAGCGGAAGTGGTCATTAGCTTGGGCTCTGGCGTGCACCGACAATGGTTATCAGTTTTTATGCATGTGTACATACATACTCACATAATCAGAGGCTCCGTGTTGTGGGCGCAGCGGCAGAGCAGCATAAGCACGGTGTGATTTGATATTGATTCGATTTTAATGCTTTTCCTCCGCAGGGTCGCATCAAGAAGATCATGCAGAGCGACGAGGAGATTGGTAAGGTTGCACAGGCGGTACCCGTTATCATTTCCCGGACGCTGGAGCTGTTCGTGGAGTCGCTGCTGACGAAGACGATGCGCATTACGAATTCACGCAATGCCAAGACATTGTCCACGTCCCATATGAAGCAGTGCATCATGTCGGAGCAGCGGTTCGATTTCCTCAAGGAGCTCGTGCGGAATATACCAGACATCAGTGTGGCCGAGGAGGCAAGCTCCTACAATGATGACAGCTCGCCAGAGCAATATCCGGACTCAGATACGCCATATGACCTTAGCCTGCCATCCACATCTATGCGGTCATTGCCGAATGGAGGCGGATCCGCTATCGGCCCCTACATGCGCTCAATGAGCTTGAACGGCACCGGCCTAAAGCGGCAGCAGCAGCAACAGCTCCCCCCATCCACACACACCCCATCGGTCATTGTACCATCTGTGGCGCACACGCACCAACTGCAGTTGGGGCACGTGCCCGCCAAGTTGGCTCGCTCGGAATCAACTCCGTCCTACACACCACGGGGCAGACCGCCCAACCCAAACTCCTACCATAAGAAACAGTCGCACGACACTGCCATACCTGCTCCGATCTGCAGCTATGAACTCAACAAGCCAATAGTCAAAATCGATTATAGCAACGTGCAGATGCCGACCACCAACCTGTGCACCCCAGAGGCAGAGGCAGACGCCAACGTTGCATTCAACTTTGACATTGCGGCTCCAGTCATCAATATCGATCTGACGAATATTGTAGCAGCTGGAACGGCTGGAAAGAGCAGCGCTCCCATCATTCCAAAGGCCACTGCGGCATCAACGACCCCAACTGAAACCATTTTCGAATTAGACGAAGACTATGACAATTTTGATTAGTTTTGATTAGTATCTATGTGAATGCGCTTTTAAATTATTGATACATTAACATGTACTCTAGCTCTAAGTAATCACAATACAACTTTTGCAAAATAAAGACCATGCTGGATTTTAAGCAGAACCCATGTGCTCCCTTTTACTAATCAAATATGAAATCAAGAGATTTATGATCACTCGAGCTGAAAGCGATGGTTCAACGACTTTACCTGTGTCTAACGATGCGCAACAAGGTGGCCAAGATCAATTTTAAAATCGTATTTATTGAGAGGAAGAATTGTGCAGAAATTCTTACACTATTCAGAAATCTTGCAATCTGAGAAGCTTACCCAAAACATGGTAAATTATTAACCTATTACCACAAAAACTTCATTTGACTAGCCTAAGCCAAGCCATCCCAAGAGGCAAAACAATTGGCCCCTGGAATTCCCAGTGGCCTAGTAAACTGTGACCTTTATTTGTTTTGCGTTAATCTATTTATATGTGGTATATATACACATAATAATAATTACGAGTATTACTTAATTTCGCCCAAGGTGCGCCCACTGACTGCCACTTAGTCATTGTGTAATCCTCGGTCACAGTCAATTACAATTAAATGCCTTTCAATCCCCTTTCGTACATTTGTATATTCGCACACGCAATCACGGGCCAGCAATTGATATTAATTTGGGGCTTCTATGTACTGGTATATGTGGGTCAAACATTGATGTGTCCTTCCAGAGACTGCACTCGGATGATGAACTGACAAGCGGAATAACTAAAGCCAAATATCGCGTGGGAAAATCTTATTGCAGCGAAATTTCAAGCCGCTCCTTGGCTCCTTTTTGTGCACAAAGGTGCAGTTGAAAATTATATGAATTATTAGGAAAGCACAGTCAGAGGGATTTTGGGTTTGGCATGGCTGATTAGGGTCAGCAGAAGGCCGAGATGATTAGTCTCCCACCCCCCCCCCACGATTATGGGAAACCAAGCCCAGATCAGGGCTGGTGAGCTGCTCATATTTGGGGGAAAAGAAAGGAGAAGCAAGAGGAAGTCCCATCACTGAGGAGACACGATTTCGTGAATTCAATTTCCCCAAAAAGAAGTCCAGATCTGCCCTCCTCCATTGTGGTGTGCTGCCCCCGGTGACTACAGCTTGAGTCATGGTAAAAAGTTTGAAACAATAAAAACAACTTGCGGCGCGCCGCCAGTGCCAAGTTTTCATGTCCAAGGCGTATTTATGTCAACCGGAAGTAGGTTTACTGACCCACGTATACCCGTACGTGTGTACGTTCAACCAAAAGGCAGCTTCGACAATCGTCGTCCGCGGTCGGCGACTCCTTCGGCGGTTGCCTCGAGTGGTCATCCCCAGAGCGCAGGACGACGATAGCCCCTCGTATAAGAACGTATTTGCCTTTAGCGGATTAGTTTTTCTTCGAACGGCGAGTGCAGTGCATCGGATCGATGCCAATGCGCGTTGTGATTTTTGGGTACTTCTACATTTGAAATTCAATTTCAATTCATTTCAATATTTTTTAAAATTCGCGAAGAATCCAAAAACTGCTTCGAAACGATCGATAAACAAAAACTTGAATCAAACACAACAAGAAAACTAAACCAAAAAAACATTTAAAATATCAGAAAAATTATAGCATTAACGACAAAAGTTAACTCCTGGATGTCTCCAGGAATTCCTATGACTTTGGACTCTGCTCTGGGGAAACGAACTCAACTTTTTGCTGAAGTCGCTCGTTCTGGGGTAGTCGGGGGCTATCACGACATTAGCCAAGGATTTTTCCCCCTCCCATCACTGCCACTTAAAAGTCAGCAGCACCCAGCCCGAGTCAAGTGGGTTTTCTGAGAGGGTTTACGAGTTGCTGTTTGTTTCTGTTGCTTTTGCTGTTGTCTTGATGTTGCAACAGTGCGCCGTGGCATAGGAGAGCCTCCAAGTGGGGCTCCAAGTGTTGTTGACTCTTAGCCGCTGCACAAGGCAAAATGAAATTTGTTGCGGTTTTGACCCTATTCCAAAGCCAAGGAAAACCGCACTGTACCCCAGCCTGTGCTCGACTCTCGGCTATGTCCATGTCCTGGCTGACACATCCCACATTCCACATCCTCGTCCCGTGACTTGGAGTCTCATGCGAAGTCTCTCACGTGCGTGCAGATACCCGACAGTGGGAGCATCCCAAAATATATGATTTAAGACCGGGAAGAAGGAAGGAAGTGTGTGCAAAGTGTATAAAAATATAGGACTAACATGCATAAATGGATATATTAAATGTGTGTGTGTGCGTGTGTATGTGTGTGTAGGGACATCGCGTGCCAGAGACATGCCAACAGGTGTCACAGCACAGCGTTGGGAAACAATCAAAAGTTGTCTAAGCAGCAGAAGGCAGAAGCAGAAGATGAACCAAACATGCAAGCAAACACGGCCCGGCCCGGCCGGAGAGAAGCTACGCCAACGGGCGCAAAGCAAATGCAGCGCCAAGCCGTGCGGCGAATTAGTGCGGCGAATTGGCAACACGGGCGCTGCCGTTTCTATTTCTTTGCTTTTGAATACCCGTTATTCGGGGAGTATTCGTGCGGGTGATTGTAGAGAGTCAGGGGAGAGTGAAAGCTCGTTGCTTTCTCAGAAATATAAATAGCGGGTATCTAATTGTCGAGATCTTTAATGCTGCGTTCTTGATTGTTTCTTTTGTAGGCTGTATTCTCAGCGTGTCTGCGTGTATACAAGTATTAGTATTATTATAGTGGCCGCTTCCCTGGGTGTTGTTGTGTTGTGCTTTGCTTTTGTTTGAATTTGAAGTGTAGGCAATATTTCTTTTGAAGGTTTCTTTGCACACTTACCGCGTACCATGGCGCCGTCGTCAGTTCCATTCAGGCAGTGCCAACGTCCCATTGTGGGGCTCCATTTTCAATGTTCGTTTTTCGCGGCTTTTCGTTTCTGTGTAATGATACTTTATTAGAGCTACTCTCCCGTGCACAATTCAAACTAATTTAAAGAACAATTACATAAGGCACAGGACATCATTTAGCCTCAGTCATTCAAAACGTTACTTAAAGTGTAATGAGATGCAGAAAAAACGCCTGTAATCCAGAAAAGTGTTTATAGTAGAAGGACGCAAAGTTGCGAAAAGTTAACTTACAGGCAGAAGCGGCACGGGGAGAGGCAGCGGCACAAGCCCGGCACGCGTCATGGCCATAACACAGCACACCGGTCTAGTCACTTCCTGTGGAGCCAAAGTGTGTCACCGAAATTCGAGTAGCGCCACATAAAATGTAGGTTAAATATTAGGCAAAGGAAAATCAATGCAAAGAAAGGCACTCATTCACACCTGCCATCCGCACCCAGTCCCTACCCTGTCCCAGCGGTTGGTTCCGCACTACCGCAATCCTCAAGGCGGCCTGCCTGCGTCATGCCACAAAATAAAACTACAATTTGCGTACCGCTTGCACCGCCAGTTCCATCCAATAGTAATAGAAAACAGAGATATAGAGAGAGAGCAAGCGCAATTAAAACATCATGTTCAGCTGATAGTTGGTGCC